TAATTTGTTTATTTACTTTAGCTCCTGTGAGCTGTTCTGATCACCTGTTGTCTGTCTAAAACCATTTCACATTTTCAACTTCTTCTAAAAAAGCAATAGGCCAAAAAACTGAAAGTTACAAGGAAGTTTCCTGAGGTAGAGTAAATTCTAAATTGGTTCAAGTCATGACCCCTTCAAAAGTCATGACAAAGGTTCAAGTTTTTGACAATGGGCTAATTTTGTTGATGAGCAGCAGGACCAAAGTTACATAGGTGAGCATTGTGGCCCATGGGCCTTTTGTTTAGTTAAAACCTGCATTTTCAGCTTTACTGGTTACAGACTGAGAGTCCAAAAGGGCTTATGCAATAGAAAGGTGTCCATTGTCCATCCATTCTAGCTGTCCGTCTGTCTGTAAACAATATTTCAAAATGCCACTCCTACAGTTTTGGTTTGATTTCAATATAACATATAATATAGTTTTGATTTCCATGAACAGTGTAGCCATGGTTACTGAAAATAGAAATTTCTGTGAAATTCCTTTAAAATGCTACTCCTCCAACAGTTTTGGTTTGATTTCAGCATAATACTAGTATTTGGCACATAGGTAGACCACACTATGATACATAAACTTGTCCAATAATATTTTATTTCCATGAACATTGTTGCTATGGTAACCAAAAATATAAATTTCATAAAAATTCTGTCAAAAGGCTACTTCTTCTACAGTTTTGGTTTGATTTCAATATAAATTTGCACACAAGTAGACTACACTAATATACATAATCTAGTGCATCGTTTGTTTGATTTCCATGAACAGTGTTGCCATGGTTTTTAAAAATAAAATTTCTGTGGAATTCCTTTAAAATGCTACTTCTACTTATTTGATCAGATTACGATATAACTTGGCATATAGGTAGGCTAGATTAAGAATTAAGATACATTAAGACTACACTAAGAGACATAATTTAGTGCCTTATTAAAAGGTTGTATGGTTTCGAAAATAGAAATTTTGAAAAAGGTGGTAAATCTCCAATGTCAAGGTCAAAGTTTTGGTTTGATTTTAATATCATTTGCACACAATATATATATGTGAATTACATACACAAATGCATTGGTTTTTACCTTTCAAAAGTTATGCCATGGTTAAAAGTTAGAAATTTTTGTGTGAAAGTGTGTTAAAATTTTTACTCCAAGGTCAAGGTCAAGTTTTGATTTTAATATAAGGTTTTGTCACAAGGTAATATATGTGAAATATAAAAGTCAGGTACATAATTTGATGAAAAGTTTTTGGGCAAGGAAAGTTTTTGCCATGGTTACTAAAAAGTAGACAGACGGTCTACGACAAAAACTATATACCACCCCACCTGGTTTGTACTTATAGCAAGGGCATAGGAAAGTACTGAAAAAATGGAATTAAATGATGTACAATGTATAGGATAACGATAATTGGGTGATGATCTATTAAATTGCCCATGTTTGCACTCACAAACACACCCTTACACACAAATTATACCAAAATTTATTTTAAACATATTAAATAATGTTCATTGAAGTCGAAAACCGGGATATAAAGTATTATGTACCTTCCTTACTACTTGTGACCCTAGTTAACAGAAATCAACCAATGCGCCACGCATTTAATAAAAGTATTAACGGATTCACTGAGAAAAATGGTTGCGGGTTCGCATCCACTGGCAATTTGGAGAACGTCTCCTAGATATCAAGGTCTATGTTCCAGTTGGTGCTGAGTACAGGTGAAAGTCTGGTCGTAAGTAAAAGTTATGGGGACGGAGATATACTAGTATACCGCATAAATATCTTTTTGATAACAATTCAAATCTAAAGCATCCAAGTTCTATTAAGTAACCATGGCAATAAATTGTTCATTGAAATTAAAAACCTGATAAAAGAATATTGAATCTTTATTATTGTCCCCCGATTTGCGAAAGTGAGGGGACATTAAATCTCTTTCGTCTTTCAGTCTGTCCGTCCGTCTGTCATAAAAACTTTTTTTTTTTTTAATAATTCTTTATTTTTGTTTTACACATTCTGTTATTTAATACAGTAAATGATGAATAACAAATACAGAAGGTGTAATTTTTTCATTGTTGAAAGAGAGAGAGAAGGGGGGAGGGGGGAAAAGATAGGGAGGTGTAGCAAAAGAGAGAGAATTGCACAGAAATTCACAATATTTATATCGATCTAAAAATTCATTGAAATAAAAGCATCCAGTAGTTCCAGCAGGTTTGAATGAGAAGAGATTGAGCTTTCATATTGTTAAACATTTGTATTGCTTGTGAAGACATTTCTAAATTCACTATGATTTTTGATCTTGTGACTTTGACCTTGATTTTTGACTTACTTTTCAAAAATGTTTATTTTTTTCCTTTTAACTTTGGATTGAGAAGAGCCATTCATTATCTGTGACAACATATATCCGAGCATGCTGTGACTTCTGACCCCTTTACTCTGACCTAATTTAAAAAAATCAACTTCGTTGATAACTTCTGCTGAATGAATTACACTGTATATGATAAGGCTTTCATATTTGACACACTATTCCATAAAAATGACATTTCATCCACAAGAGACACCAATTCTTTGCCATATTTTATTGAAATCAGACCAGAACTGTAGGAGTTGCATTCTGAAAGTATCTCACAGCAATATTTATTTTAGTAAATATGGCAACATTGTTCATCGAAATCAAAAACCGATTGTCAAGATAAGAGTACTTTTTTGTGTGTCAAGTATTTATATAATACAAGCAGACGAAAACTGTAGGAGTAGTTATGAAGAATTTTGTTTTTTTTACAGACATCTCTGCTGGCTAAAACACCAGTAGCAGTTATCATTCTTTGTCTATAAAAGGTTATGTCTAATTCCGGTAGAGTTTACGGAATTAATGGTCTAGGAGTTATATTAATAATCCCAATTCTCGATCAGCAGATGGCTTGATGCCGATAGAGTGCCTGATGTTGCAGGGCATTTTATGTTTCATGTTCACGGCAAATGGAATATGATTTGATTTTGGTTGAATTTGAACTTTGTATATGATGAGTAATATGGATGACGAGAATTATCACGGACTGTTCTGTCATAAAAAGATTTTGATGACCATGGCTTATATGGGTTAAAGCTTACAGACATTTATATGTAACCATCAAATTACTAGTATCAATCCATCCACCAATAAAATTCATGATTATAATGTAGAAATTATGTAACTTGCACACAATACTTTAACTGATTTTTTTCCTGCACATCAAAATAATGTCTTAGCATTGGGGAGGGGATCCTGTAAATGCGATTACTTCTACGTTTGATCAGGAAATTCATAGCAATATAGTCATTTCTATGAATGTTTTGCTATAAAGATACAAGCTATTTATAGCCGAAGAATTTTGGTGTCAGAGCTTTTTTTCTGAGGAACAGTATAAACTATTAATTAAACAGTGTTATGGAAAATGTGCCTTGCCTTCTGTAAAGTTAACTTGACATAAAAACTACTAGTATATAAATACCAATTTATGCTTTTTAAAATTGGAATATTTTTTTTTTCCTACTTACTTTTACATACCCCAATATCTGAATGTAACGAGATACCGACTGCTCAGGGCTTCTTTGAATACAATCTCATGCCCTGCCCTGACAGTGATATACCTTCAACACAAGTACTAGATCATTACCCCCCACCCCTCCACTCTTTACCCCCACCCTTTTTCCTAAAAGTGTAAGATGCTGTATAATCTAAACCCCCACCCCTTTCCTGAAAGTGTATGATGCTGTATCATTTATCCCCTCCTCTCTTATATGAAAGTGTGAACGTGTACGACGCTGTACCATCCCCCCTCTCCGTCCCAACAGTGTAGGATGCTGTATCAATCATTCCTCTTCCCCACACTGTAGGATGCTGTTACAAATATTCCCCCTCCCCACAGTGTAGGATGCTGTATCAATCATTCCTCTTCCCCACAGTGTAGGATGCTGTAACAATCCTTCCCCCTTCCCCACAGTGTAGGATGCTGTATCAATCATTCCCCCTTCCCCACAGTGTAGGATGCTGTATCAATCATTCCCCTTCCCCACAGTGTAGGATGCTGTAACAATTATTCCCCCTTCCCCACAGTGTAGGATGCTGTAACAATTATTTCCCCCTCCCCACAGTGTAGGATGATTCATTCCCCCTCCCCATGGTGTAGGATGATGCATTCCCCCTTCCCCACAGTGTAGGATGCTGTATCAAGTATCCCCCCTTCCCCACAGTATAGGATGCTGTAACAATTATTTTCCCCTCCCCACAGTGTAGGATGATTCATTCCCCCTCCCCATGGTGTAGGATAATGTATTCCCCCTTCCCCACAGTGTAGGATGCTGTATCAAGTATCCACCCTTCCCCAAAGTGAAGGATGATGTATCATGTATCCCCCTTCCCCACAGTAAAGGATGGTTTATCAATTATTCGAGTCCTCCTTCCCCACAGTTTAGGATGCTGCATCATTTAACACTCCCCTCTCTCTTCCCGTCTCGACAATGTAGGATGCCATATCATTTAACGACAACTTTATGAGGAAATAAGTGCAAGAATAAGTAGTTAACAATAGTATATACGAATATGTTTAACAGCCTTATAGTGATTCACTTTGTCCCAAAATTATATGAAATATATTATCTCCCTACATATAAACTATCATCCATGAAAATTAACCATTCCTTGTCATAAACCCACAGCTTACAGTAAGAGACATTTTGAACATACTCAGTATCTTAGTTGTAAACATCTCTCTCTCTCTCCTTGTTCTTCTCTCTCTCTCTCTCTCTTCATCTTGAACTTGACATCGAAGCTTTGATTCTAATGAAATCTTGAATGAGACAGATTCGGCGATGATCCCTATTTTTGTGGGCGTGGTTTTGGTTGCTATGTCCCTTTCCGGGGGTCCCCACAGATTAGGATGTCCTGTATCAGGGACATCAAACTCCTCTGTCCCCACAGTTTAGGTGTCACATTTAACACCAACTCTCTGTTACGCTAAAAGGGCGTAAGTTCCTTTTTTATATTTTAACCAACAAACATAAATCAAAATTGAGTTTATTTCATTTTCTATGTTTTAATTTTTTAAATTTTTTTTGATAAACTGTATACATTAGTAAAACAGCAATAGAGACATGAGGTTTGACTAACAGACCTATAGTTTTCCTCCCAGCCGATTGCTGATTCTGCGAATTAAAAAATGGGGAGGGGGGAGGGGGCTGGGTTGGGGATTGATCCTCCCTCCCGAATCCAGTAATTACAAATATTGTCAAGGTATAACCAATACATTGTTTTGTTGTTTTACAGAAATATAGATATATTTAATGCGAGAAAAACAGGTGTTATGCTAAGATCGTTATCAAAATATGATTTGAAGTTTAAATTTCAAATCAATTCAAATTTCGATTAAAATGAAAACACTGTATTTTTTTTCTTTCTTGTAAAAAAATTTGGTAATCATGATAATTGACAAATCTGAGGAGAGGGGGGGTCATATCTTCGTTTTTAAATAAGAACAGAAATTATTTAAAATTTTGGTACCCGGTGGACTAGCTGTAGATCTGTAGCGTTATCGTTTTATATATTTGTCTTTGACCATAACGCTACAGATCCCATAATGCAAAAAAGGTGCAATTTACTGATCTGCAGCTACTTGAGGACAGCAACCGTCCTCAGAAATGAATGTACCTATAGATAAAAACTCAATTTTGGATCGTTCAGAAGATTCCACTTTTGTGAATATTATTTGTCTCTTATGCACCAACACTGGCGTCCACATTTTTTTCTTTATCAAATACCTGAATATAATGTATATTTTGTAGTAATGTCGGCATTCGGGATGTCGGCCCGTGTGAAGAGAATAGAAAATGTCGCTGTAACCGAATAATGATTGACGTATGTGGATATAATGGAATACAGTATAATAACCCGTGTCTGGCCAGATGTCAGTAAGTCTTTCTGTCTGTTTCTGGCAATTGGTTTTAAACGTTAACATTATTCATAGAGTATGTTTTGTTTTGTTTTTTTTTTAAATAAGAGCTAGATTGATTGGTAAAAATCTGAAAATTCGTCAATTTATGAATAAAATAAATTACACAAAAAATGCTGTATATATGTGATTTTGCGTCTTTCAATTTTTTATAGTTGAAATTCATGTTGTGTTCTTTTTCAGTGGAGTGGAAAATTTTACCCTCGGAAAATGTGATGTAATTCTCTGAAATAAAAACCAGTCAGTAAAAGAATGGAATAATTTTACTTTTGAAAATCTGTAAAAACCGACGGGTAATATTCATAAGAGAGAGGTAGGAAAGGGAGAAGGGGATCCAAATATAGAAGAGAGTGCAATTACCACCCCACTTTACTGTATGTCAGTGTTGTAAATTTTAAATTTCTTTTTTTTTTGCTTGGAAGTAAATACAAAATTTAACACATAGATACTTTTCAAAACTTACAACATAATAAGCTTAACTGTAATGATTTAAGTGAACAATTAGTTTTTGAGAAAAAATTTAAAATGTGGAAAGTTTACAGACGGCGGACGACGGACAACAGGTGATCAGAAAAGCTCACTTTCGAGCATTCAGCTCATTTTTTGACGTGACCTCACAATTTTACCTCGTTTTTGCATCACTGTCTCTTGCAATATATGAAATAATTCTTGTGTCAGAGTACAAAAGTTTCATTTTAACATTTTAAAAACGCCTTCTTTACCACCTGCAAGAAGGCATTTTTAAACATGTCTTTGGTTAAGATAGAACAATTAGTTTTTGAGAAAAAAATTAAATTGTGGAAAGTTTACAGACGGCCAACAGGTGATCAGAAAAGCTCACTTTCGAGCATTCAGCTCAGGTGAGCTTAACAAGCGACTTTTGAAGTGAACCATAACAAATATATGACCCCCCCCCCCCCCCCCCGCCTCTGAAAATTTTTGTTAGTCACAAAATGCAAAAACAAAAAGCAAGAAATATAATAATCAAAGACTACGAAATCATGTACGTATTTTGAAAATTTTTGTGTTAGTAAAAAAGAGCACCATTTTACCTGTTTTTGCGTCACAGCTTCTCTTCAATCATATATGAAATAATTCTTGTGTCATATCAATTTCCTCTACATTGTTTGTCAGGCAAAGAGGAGAAGTAGGTACTTGTGCTTGAAGACAGATGATAAAAGGGTTACCGGTTTGTAGAAGGGTTTAACATTTACGAACACCTGCAGACTCCCGAGGGGAAATCTCAGAGCCAAATTTTTTTTCTTCTCAAATTGATAGATCCGTTATATAGGTCAATATAGCCGCAAAATTTTTGTGAAAAAACAAAGATAAACGACAAACTGATTTTTAAAAGTTAAATGAGTGTTTTTTTTACCTACTAGTATGTTGTAAAAATTTTCTAAGCATATATTTCAAATCATAGAATCTTAACCAAAATATATAGCTTTCAAAAGAAATGAGAATATTCCCAAAATATGATAAAATAAACAAAAAATGGATGTCTGGATTAGTATATATTTTTGGACCTATTTTGGTTGTAAATGATTGTATAAATAAACTTTCTAAAATATTAAAAAATTGTAAACGTTCTATGATGTTCAAATTTGACCTTTGTAACTGTCCTTATTAATGCTATACAAAATCAGCTTTAAATCTCCAAACATTTTTTAAACTTAATGAAAAATTAAAAATTGTGCGGTTAAAATTGTTTATTTTACTTTAAATAGGACTTAAGATCAAAGCAATATTCTCTTTATCTGTAGTGTTTGTATGAGAAAGTTTAAGTACGGAATGAAAATTACAAAAGTTTTAAAATAATAATTATAATTCTGACATTTGATAAATGGCTAAAATTTTATTTTGCCCTTGAGTCAAACTATGAAAATATCTTTAGCTGTCTTGCTGTCAATAATTATATTAAGTAAAACAATTAAGGAGAACACGTTTTCTGCTAAGTATTATCACTGTTGAAAAAAAAATCGTGATCAGGGACAGTAGCCAAGAAAAATCGGATTTAAAATTTTCATGGTTTTTTTTTTGTATATATATGTTCAATACATCCGGTCACCGTTTTGAAGAAGGGACACTTGTAGCAATGTGTCAACCTTTCCTCCTCAAAAATAAGTAGAGCAATTATATTGCATTGGAGGGGGGGGGGGTGGCTCTGGGGGAAATCGCACTCTATAGCTACTACACAGAGTAGGAATTCCCCCCCCCCCCCCGGAAAACTTCAGGTGTGGGAATCAATTTCTTAAAGCCAAATGGGGGAAACACCAGCCAGGTCAATGACCTTGACTGTGACATATATGCTAAAAATAGCCAGTTTTTAAAAAGAATTTTGGGTTAGAGCAGTTTGCCGGGGGGGGGGGGGCATAGTGTTTCACAAACACTATATATACAAGACCGGTATGTTTTAAACATTTGTTCGTTCTCGGTCTCATTGATCTAGAGCTAGCGTTGTCGTTAAAGGTACTTGGACACAGATTTGAAGTTATTATTTTCTCTATAATATTACGACTTATATATTTTAATAGCATTTCACACAAAAATTAATTAAAAATCTTATTTCATATAAAAGATATTAAAATTTTAAATTTTTTGGCGTGTTTGATTGACACATCCTTGCACTTTCACAAATTAATTTTATTCTTAATCCTTAGGAAAAGTGGCAATCTCGTTGTGTATTAATGAAAAATATTAATACTATAATCCAGAAAATTCAGAGGAGATATGGGCAGCGGAAAGGGCAAAAATTACCATAATGAGAAAACAAACAATTAATTTAATTTCAATGACCATAAAAATTTAACAAGTGATATACAATGCATAATCAACAGACGTTTTCGAACAACAAATATACATTAAAGCAAAACCAACGTTTTTGTACGTAACAAACATATATAATGCAAAACCAACAAGCAACTTTGCAGTACAAACGTACATAAAACACGACAAGCGAAAAAAACTTAACAAACGTGCACGCGGTAAATCTATCTTTGACTCCGGGCTTCTCGTTTTTGTTTTAGTTTTTTTGAGGGGGGGCGATTTCTATTTTGTCGGTGCTCTTCAAACTTCTCAGGCATATTTCCTTTTTAAATGAATTCAATAATATGTAAAAACTTAAACAACTTTGCGTATTTATTACTGAATCAGCAGTATCACCTGCCAAAAGAGGTAAATGTAAGGTAGTTGTCCTTTACACATCGATACAGAGAGACGTAGAAAGTAAAGTTGCATAGACACAGATTTGGATTTAATATTTTCTTATATATTGTAATAGTATTTCATACAAAAATATATTAAAAATCTTATTTCATCTAAAAGTTATTAAAAGTTCAAACTTTTAGACGGGTTTGATTGACACATCCTTGCACTCTCGCAAATTTTAATTTTATTCTACTTCAGAAAAGTGGCAATCTTGTTTCAGTAACTTTAAGATGAAATGAAATTAACTTCAAATCTGTGTCCATGTATCTTTAAAGATATTAAAAATATATTGATATTGAGAAGATATTTCTTCTCAAAAAGATGGAATTAGTATTTCAGTGAGAATTGTTGATGTTGAAAAAAAAATGAACATTTAAATTCTATAAAAATTCATAACATCAATATGATTTGATTTCAAATAAAATTTTTACTAAAATTTTCATTAAAATATCTAAATCTAACATTGTACTAATGGTAAAACCATGCAAAATGAAAGTATTGCATTGTTATACATTGACGTAGTGCTTATCGTTTTCGAAAGGAGAGGGTAACCAGAGAGAAAAAATCAATCTATTAAACTGAAAAAAGATTTTAAAAACTTGACAAACAAAAAGGAAATTAAAGTGAAGTAGCCCAAACTCGAAATCCTATTTCGTGGGCGAGGGTGTGTGTGTGTGTGTGTGGGGGGGGGGGGGTGTCGGTTCAACTCCGTGACTTTCAGTACCAATTTTTCTTCCTAATACGTATAATTAACGCCCCCCCCCCCTTTTTTTTACCCTTTTGTAATATTGGGAAATGTTGCTACGTGCCTGTCATATAATATGTCACTGTAATATAGATTCTTGTTATATCTAAAGAATTGGAGAGAACCAATTTATGTAACAATAACAAAATAAAAAATGACGAAACGGCATTCAGGAGAATGAGATTTTATTTTCCTTTTATGTAAATTCTTTTCTTTTATTTGAAATATTAAGGATAAATTATCCCCTCTCCACCCAAAAAAGGAAAAATTAAAGGGGGATCCGAGGAAGAACCAAGTCCATGCTGCAGAGCGTGGGAACATAAACATGATGAAGCCAAGAGTTCTATACGAAAGAAAAAGAGTGGTGAATTTTTGTGCATACAATTTATTTTGCATGCAAATGAGGGTTTTCATTTCTTAAAAAAAATATATACATCAGTTTGTTGTTTTTAATTGCGATTCTACGAAAAAATCGGTATCTTTTTTTCAGTGGATTTCGCATTTATAGCTGAGTACTAGATTTACCGCTTTTTGACAGTTGATACTGCGGACGCAAACTTGTTAAAGTTTTTATATATACATGTATTAAATGTAATGATTTTTGAAACCTAGAAATGTGCCTCAGCCCTGAGAAGTGTGAAGAGTTTCTGTGCGCCGACAAAAGGGAAATCCAACCCAAAAAAAACAAAAACCGGGACCGTCGGGAGTCGGGAAGACTAGATTTACCGCTTGCACGTTTGTAAAGTTTTTTTTGCCTGTCGTGTTTTTATGTACGTTTACTGCAAAGATGATTGTTGGTTTTGCATTCATATATGCTTGTTACCTACTTGGTCGTTGGTTTTGCTTTAATGTATATTTGTTGTGCGAAAACGTCTGTTGATTATGCATTGTATATCATTTGTTAAGTTTTTATGGTCATTGAAATTAAAATAATTGTTTGTTTTCACATTATGGTAATTTATGCCCTTACCGCTGCCCATAGACATGTTCGAAAGCAAAACAAACACACAATATATTGTCAGTCCGTGCAGTTGTGGTAAGCAAACTGTGACGATTGAACGCACCCGGTGAATTCTAAATATAAACAATAACAGAACTCGAGCCCTGTTTACAAAAACTGTGTACATAACACGAGTGTGCTCGATTTGCTAAACTCTGTAAGCAACCCTTAGTTAGGATTGATTGATTGATTGTATACTGTTTAACGTCCCCCCTTAGTTAGGAATGACGATACTTGTGAAGGAGTTTTGTTTTCTAACATGTGTACTCGGAATAAAACTATTTTTCTGGATAGAAGTTTTAATATTTCTTATTAATACACCACAAGATTGCCACTTTTCCTAAGGATTAAGAATAAGGTTAAAATTTGTGAAAGTGCAAGGATGTGTCAATCAAACCCGCCAAAAAATTTCAAGTTTTAATAACTTTCAAATGAAATAAGATTTTTAATTAATTTTTGTGTGAAATGCTATTAAAATATATATGTCGTAATATTATAGAAAAAATATTGACTTCAAATCTGTGTCCAAGTACCTTTAAATCAACTCATTACTACCAACATATTGGATTAAAACTACTTTATAAAACATGTAACTAAGAAAAGATGAAAGAGCAAGTTGCTATCCACATTTACTTTTTAAAGAAATTTTGATCCGTTTCTTTGCATCTATTAAAAACAAGATGTGTTTAGGAAACACTGATGTCCCTGTATGACAGCGTTTGGCGAAGGTTGTACTTTCTCAAATGCAAGACAAAAGTCCATGGAATGGGAATGAAAAATGTTGTTACCCAGAGAAAGAATTCGTTCTCATTGAATACTAGTATACCTGTGGAATATGAAAGCCTAAACACTAACTAATAAAAAGCTATGGCCAAGGTAAAAGTTTGTTTTTTTTTAACAAAGGATATAATAAAAGGTAACAAGGAGAAGACCTTGTCATAAAAAAAATCACATGTAAATTACCTAAGCCCTAGCACCAACTACCAATAAATTATGGCCAAATTTAATATTTTCAAAACTAGGTCAAATTCCAGTGTCAAGTTCAAAATTAACTGCATCAATTTTGTATACAGTATAAATATATTTGTAAGTGTTAATTTTAGCGAAATTTTATTTTCATTTTATTGGGCGTATTGTAGAAATACCGAGTAAAAACACATAAAACACAAATTACATCGTCCTGGAACAATGCGCCTATATGATATTGACCTTAGAGTCAGACGCGATCTTCGTTAACAATTAAATACTGCTTATAATTACAATTTTGAAAAGTTTTTCCGGTAAAGTCTTTTCTCATCTAAAATACTTTAAAATTAACATGAAGTATTTCGATGTGATGGATAACAATTAGGCTAAATACAGTACTGCTTAGGTATATAATTACAATTTTGAAAAGTTTTTCCGGTAAACTCTTTTCTCATCTAAAATACTTGAAAATTAACATGAAGTATATTTTCGATGTGATGGGTATCTTAAAGTTTAACTTTTTAAAAATTGCAGGAAAATAAATCGGGTTCGGCATACACATGACATTGTACTTTCATCTTCATATTAATCCTCTCTTAATCTGCATGATGTAACCGTAAACTACAATTTCATTCATACAGTTTGCAATCAGAACTGAAAATAAGTAACCGGGATGCTTTGGACTAGTTTTCGTAAATTCCAACAGGTATCCCATGTAACCCAATCCCTGGTGCAGCTCTTGAATGCGGAGGGCAGCAGCAGACAACTTTCTAGGTCACTTACTAGAACGATGGCATCTGGTACAGTGACGATGTCCAGAGACAACGAGGACCTGGCCAGATCTTTCCTTAAGTTAGAAAAAATCGATGTCAATATATACAGGTGTGTTTAAATAGTCTATTTACTTGTAACTGACACGTTGTACGTAACATTGTACAAATAACTATTTGTTCTGTATGGATAAAAAAAAGATCTGAAGATGTGGTCTGAACAGCGAAATATGCCTAAATATGAAAATTACCTTTAAAAGTCTTGATACTCTACGTTGAGACTGAATTGCACTTATATATATATATATATATATTTCTCATTAGAGCTTCATCTAAGAGCCTTTGGCGGCCAGTTGGGTCTAGGTTTGTTTTTGGTGGACAGGTAGTTGGTCAGGCTTTAACTGCAGCATTCAACACAGTGAAAGATGAACTATTATTACACAGTCTTCACTGTTACTTTCTAAGGGGAGGTAAGGAAATGTCTTTGTTTTCTTTCAATTATTTGAATATTGCCAAACATCTTTTGATAGGTAACCAGTATGATTGTATTTATTTGTTTTATTCAAGGCAATAACGAAAAACCCATTTTGTACCATGTGGATCGGACAAGGGATGGTAAGACCTATACGAGTCGTAACATCAAAGCCACACAGGAAGGGATCCCTATCTTCACAATGCAAGCTTCTTTTAAAGTAGATGAAACAGATCCATTGGAACATCAGTTTGAAATGCCAGTGGTTCCCAACCCTGAAGAATTAATTAGTTCTAGAGAATATATGAAAAATAGGCTAGAGTAAGTATTACTGTTGAATTGTTAATGGATGTATGTTTTTATGTCCCCGTAATCAAAGGTTTTTGTCCAGTCCATCTGTCTGTCTAGCTGTCTCTCTGCAAGAACACTAACCCTGCCCATAAATTTTGAGTGGATGGGGTTATGGCTTTCATGTTGTCTTGTATTCCTTGTGGCAAGACCTTTCTTCAGGAAATAACAAATTTGACCTCATGACCTTTGGATTTGACTATTTCTTGCAAAGAATTACCAAACTTAAACCTTGGTCCTAACTTTTGAACAGTTGTTGCTAGGGCTTTCTAACTTCAACTGTTTGTTCATTATGGCACAACCTTTCAATGGATGTAAATATTTTTGACATAGACCTTTGAGTTTGACACACTTTAAACAAAAGTTTAAGTTGGCCATAACTTTAAACAATATGTACAAGGATTTTCATATTTCATAGGTGTATTCCTTGTAATTAAATCTTCTTTTGGATACCAACAATTTTGACCTGTTTACCTTGAACTGGAGAGTTTGTCTTCCTTTTACAAAACTTTAACATTTGCAGTAACTTGTTAACAGTTGGCTAGGGATTGCTACTGTACAGCAGGAAATTAACTCGCGGGGTTAATTTTTGCTATATTCGCGGAAAAAGAAATTCCGCGAATTCAACGTACAGTGAATAATTCTTTAAAAGTTTTATAAGGATAAGTTGAAATTTTATTATTTTCTGTGATTAGCTGTAGACTGTCTTTATAATGATGCGAGTGTATGGATCAATTACAAACATGTAGTTGTAGGTGTTTTTAAAACTTATTAATCGTTTGATTTATTTCTATAGCTAACGATTAATTTTGCCATCTAATAGAAGTAATTATGTAATTATTTAAAGTAAAACATGTTTGTTAAATTTTACCAGTGCGTATTACTCAGTCATTACCTTTAATCAAGGCATTTACGTAAACTGGGTAACGACAATAAATTAAATTCATTATATGATTAAAAGTTCAATATTTTGACTACGGTATAATTTTATTTCTAATTTGGACCCGGAAATAAAGGAATCTAAATGCGTAACATAATTTTTACTTCAAATCAGGATCAGTGCGGTGTGTCGTTATTATTCAATCGGGCTTAAAATCGACACAATAAATAGACTTGACTTTTCTGTCTGATATGCGAGATATACATATACAGACTTTCGTAAGACAGAGACAGAGGAAATATCAGTTCACACAATATATACACACTGTACCTACAGAAAAATGCTTGCAAGTACTATTTCAGAAATGTATGATTTCCCTTTCCGCGAATTCAAACGACCGCGATTTGCTGAAAATTGAACAAATCGCGATCTTTTCCGACCGCGATTTTAACCTGCTATACAGTATTAATGTACCTTGATCTTGGAGTTTGACACTTTTTGAAACTTTAATTTTGGTCATAACTTAAAAAAGGTAAGTGATTGGGCTTTCATATTTCAAATATATACCGTTTAAGTGGAAATTTTAGCGAGACGCAAATTTAGCGATTTGTCCTTAGAAATTGATATTTTATTTTTAGCGAGATGTTATTTTAGCGATATTAAAAAGCTCATTAAGAAGCTATTACAAATAAAGCGCAATTAAGTTTTAGCGATATTCAATTTTGGCGATCTTGGCACTCTCACTAATAATTCCAAAATTAAATCCTAGCAAAAAATTCTGCTTTTATGGTATTCATTGACACAAGTCCTTTGTTGGGTAACAATATTTTAATCTGTTGACCTTGGAGTTAGATTTGCATTTGAGAAACTTCAAATCTCTACATAAGCTGTGATATGAGAACATCAGTGTTTCACAAAGACATCTTATTTTAAGTTAGAATTAAAGATTACATTGAATGAAATCTTTGGTTTGCCAGTCCAATGCTTTACCAATTGAGGTAAAGGGTTAACCCACTAGCCCAAGCTTATAGGAATCCATGTATCTTAACTGAAATTAAAATTGGCACCTTGTATATATATACATGTATAGCTAATACAGTACAGACATATGGCATACAGAATAAGATAAAGTGCTGATTGTGCCTACAAAGTCACACATTACCGTTAAAACTTCATTATTAATAAGTTTTTTTATGTGTTGAATTTAATGAAAAATCTACAAAGATAATGCTACTCATATATGTCTGATTTATGAAAGTTCAATATCTTTCATATAGGCTATGTATAATTATTTTTTCCTTAGAACAGAGGAGATGTCAGATTCTGAGAGACTGTTAATCAGTGAATACCTCACCCAGTCCCTACACATAGAGTCCCGTCCTATAGATCCCCAGCTTTACCACGGCCAGAAACAGGGGGAAGCCCGGCGCTATGTCTGGGTCAGGGCCATTGAAAATATAGGTAGGACAGACCTGATATTGAGCTTTGTCAGACGGTGTTACCCAAGGTTAAAAAACTTTCTTATGTTAACTTGGATTTTCACCTTCATATTTCAAATAGATCCATTAAAAACACAGTTCTATTTATCATCTGTTCAAATCATGTTAATGAAATACACATAGTTCTCCATCTATTTTTTTATTTAAAAAAAAGTCTTATTTTATACATTGTACCTGTTTATATATGATTTTTAAAAACATTTGAATGCCACACTATAAGAGCCTCCTCCTTGTGTTTACAGGGGATAACATGATCCTTTTGTATACATTTACAGGGGATAACATGCAGTTACAGCAGTGTGTGGCAGGATTTATCTCCGACCTGGCTCTGTTAGGGGCCGCCAAGCAGCCTGCTCCAGTGGGGCACCAGTTAGGCTTCATTACGTCCTTAGACCACAGTATGTGGTTCCATAACACATTTAGAGCTGAGGAGTGGATGCTGTATGAAATAGAGAGCCCTCAGTGTGGTAAGTTCTCTGTGTATTAGAAAGGGGAAAGAGGGAGAAGATGCAGATTTTATAAAAATACAGATAAGAATAATATATAAAGGTTCTTAATTGTAAATCTCTATCTGCACAGTCAATGCAAATACATGCATAGTGAACTCCTTTGGATGACCAAAGTCACCTTTAATACTTTACACAAAATTTGTATTTATACCCCCTACATATGAAGTTCAGGGTGCATACTGTACGTGTACTAAAAAAAGTGGGCTTCATATTTTAGTGGACAAGAATGCGTTAATTCATGATTACCGCTAAGAAATCATTTACTTATACAAAACAAGGCATGAACATGTATAGGGCTAATTCATGATTACGCTAACAACTCTATACCCCTTGATTACGCTAAATTTTGAATACATCAATTCATGTACACGTACAGTATTGGAATCACTTTGTCTGTCTGTCTGTCTGTCCTTCTGCATTTGGACATTATTTTGTCTGGACATGTTCAAAGAGACTAATACCAACTCAATTTGCCATAAAAAGATGTTTTCATAATGATTTTACATTTTTTTTTCTTTCTTTTACAAAACTGTTATCAATTTAAGGAAATTTATGTATGATTTAGATTATAAGCAGGTATATATTTTTTTTTATACTTGTATGGTAAGTTTCTAATCCCTTACTCTGAATGTTTACACACAATCCTACCCATGTCAGAGGTAATTGGGGTTTATAAAACCTTTTAAAACCTTCTTTGTTTCAGGTAAAGGTAAAGCCCTAGCTATAGGTCGTATCTGGAGGAGAGATGGAGTGCTAGCAGTGTCAATGGCTCAGGAAGGTGTATTGAGATCTAAGATTTGATCAGTGGTTTATATACTTAATTTATTTCCTTGTCAAGCATTACACATATTTAATTAGCTATATGTTGTATTGAGTGACTTATTTCACTGTGAATGTGATGTGAGTATTTTAACATTTTAGTTGGAACATGTTTTTTTGTTGTCAAACACCTTTTTTATTGTTTTATAATTTGTTTAAGTATGAAATAAATTATGAGCAAAATGAATTTCTAAATTATGATACATGTATAGTTTTTAAACAATGTTCATTTGATTTTGTCATTTTGTATGGTGATAATATTAATTCTTGAAGAATATTGATCAAGGTAGATGGCAACTAAAAAAAAAAGTGCAACATACCGGTACTTTACTCAAAATGGCATTAGTTTTGCTGACCAAAAAATTCTGTTTTCTGCTAACATCAAGCAAAAGTGCTTACCTGAAAGGGGGGGGGACAAAAAACCTCTATGTAGCTTCTCTTAATCAAACTTTGTCTTCTACTAAATTCTTCCTTGTACTTGCTTCTTTATCTCTTTGTGGTTGTATGACATTCAAGTTTTGTCATAAATATTTAGTAATTGTTTGTATACAGTAAGGATATTGTATTTTTTTTTTAAATGGAAAGTTAAATTCCAAGAGAATTGGTTTGGTTTCTTTAGAGTTTGTCATGTCTTATGCTGTGTCCATTTTATGATAACTACCTGAATTTAGAAGAAAGGAATCAAATTTGAAATTTTGAAGTTTTTCCTGCCATTTAAAGTAAACTAAAGTTGTCTTATAATTCACAGATTTAGAAAAAAGAGGCCAGGGGTATCATTAGAATTAGACATTTTTCATTTTAACAAAAAAAGATGAAGACAAAAAATAAAATTCATCTCTGCAAAGTTTTGTTAAGCATACAAGTATCAAAACAAGATGCATTTGTAAATCACTGATGCCCCATGTATGGCAGCTCAAATGAAAGTTAAAAGTTTCTCAAATTCAAGTTAAACTCCAAGGTCAAGAAATCAAAATATTGGTAATCAAAGAACGATCTTGTAACAATACTCAGGTGAAGACAAAAGCCCTGGCACCAACATGCTAGATTATTGGTCAAGAATAGTTTTTTTTTTCAAATGAAGGTCGATGGTCAATGATTAGATTGCTGAAGGAAAGGCCACGTCAAAAGAAATGATACTGTATATGAAAGTCCTAGGTCCAACCATTCAAAAATTAAAACCGAGGTTTACGTTTTTCCAAAGTAGGTTAAACATCAAGAAAAAAGGATCAAAATTATTGGTACCCAAGGGAAGGTATTGTCTCTAGAAATACATAAGTGAAATGTCCTAGCTCCATCCATTCAAAAGATATTGACAAGGTTTATGTTTTACAATAGTAGGTCAATCTCAAAGGCCGGGTCAAAAGGCCAAAATTGTTGAAACCCTTGGTAAGCTCATGTAACAGCAAAATATAACTGTTAATGAAATAATGATGAATGAAATGAAATTAATGAAATATTACAGCCCTAGCACCCACTGTTCAAAAGTTATGTTCAAGGTTGAAGGTTTTCAAAAGTAGATCAAACTCCAATATCAAGGTCAAAATTGGTTATACCCAAAGTAAGGTAAAGTCACTATATATTTTAAAGTTATGGCCAAGATTGAAGTTTGGTAAAATCTTGCAGAAATTCCAGAGAGAATATACTACTTTTGGTACCAATATATTTAATTTGCATTTTAATAAGAAAAGTTTAATTTTTGCTATGTTGCCATACGGGGGCATCAGTGTTTTACAAACACATCTTGTTTTTTTGTCCCCCGCTTTCACAATATCGAGGGGACATTAAATCTCATTCGTCTGTCCCTCAGTCTGTCCGTCTGTCTAGCTGTCCATCCATCACAAAAACTTTAACCTTGCCCATAACTTTTGACTTAGTGGAGCTATGACTTTCATATTTCACATGTGTATTCCTTGTAACAAGACCTTTCGTTGGATACCGCCAAATTTGACCTTGACCTTGGAGTTTGACCCACTTTTACAAAAAAAATTCCAAACTTTTACTTTGGCCATATCTTTTGAATGGTAGAAACTAGAACTTTCATATTTCACATATGTTTTCTTTGTGGCAAGACCTTTCATTGATTACCAACAACTTTGACCTTGACCTTGGAGATTTCTGTACTTATGAAAAAACTCTAACCTTAACCATAACTTTTATACATCACATATGTAATTCTTGTGAGAAGACCTGTCGTTGGATACCAAGAACTTTGACTTTTTGAATTTTTAGCTCACCTGAGCCGAAGGCTCAATTGAGCTTTTCTGATCACATTTTGTCCGTCGTCCGTTCGTCTGTCTCTCTAGCTGTCCGTCCGTCCTTCTGTAAACTTTTCACATTTTCGACTTCTTCTCAAGAACCACTGGACCAATTTTGACCAAACTTGGTACAAAGCATCCTTGGGTGAAGGGGAATTTAAATTGTCCCTCACAAGGGGAGATAATCAAGAAAAGACAAAAATAGGGTGGGGTCATTAAAAAATCTTCTTCTCAAGAACCAATGGGCCAATAAAGCTGAAACTTATGTGGAAGCACCCTGGGGTAGTGTAGATTTTAAATTGTTCAAATCATGACCCCCGGGGGTTGGGCGGGGCCACAATGGGGAATCCAAGTTTTACATAGCAATACATAGGAAAAAAATTTGAAAATCTTCTTCTCAAGAACCACTGGGCCAGAAAAGCTGAAACTTATGTGGAAGCATCCTGAGGTAGTGTAGATTCTAAATTGTTCAAATCATGACCCCCGGGGGTAGGGCGGGGCCACAATGGGGAATCCAAGTTTTACATAGAAGTATATAGGAAAAATCTTTGAAAATCTTCTTCTCAAGAACCACTGGGCCAGAAAAGCTGAAACTTATTGGAAGCACCCTGGGGTACAACTTGTTCAAATCATGACCCCCGGGGGTAGGGCGGGGCCACAATGGGGAATCAATGTTTTACATAGAAATATATAGGAAAAATCTTTGAAAATCTTCTTCTCAAGAACCATAATGGACCAGAAAAGCTGAAACTTATGTGGAAGCACCCTGGGATAGTGTTAGATTCTAAATTGTTCAAATCATGACCCTCGGGGGTTGGGCGGGGCCACAATGGGGAATCCAAGTTTTACATAGAAATATATAGGAAAAATCCTTGAAAATCTTCTTCTCAACAACCACTGGGCCAGAAAAGCTAAAACTTATGTGGAAGCACCCTGGGGTAGTGTAGATTCTAAATTGTTCAAATCATGACCCCCGGGGGTAGGGCGGGGCCACAAAGGGGAATCAATGTTTTACATAGAAATATATAGGAAAAATCTTTGAAAATCTTCTTCTCAAGAACCACTGGGCCAGAAAAGCTGAAACTTATGTGGAAGCATCCTGGGTAGTGTAGATTTCAAACTGTGTAAATTATAATCATTGGGGTAGGGTGGGGTCACAATATGTATTACAAGGGGGAAATCTGGTAAAGAACAGAATGGTCAAAGATTCTCAGGTGAGCTTGTGGCCCATGAGCCTCTTGTTGACCTTGACCTTGGAGTTTGACGTACCTTTCAAAAACTTTGACCTTGGTCACAACTTTTTAACAGTAGATACTATAGATTCATATATCATATATATACTCTTTGTGGCAAGACCTTTCATTGAATACCAACATCTATGACCTTTTGACCTTGATCTTGGAGATTTCTGTACTTGTGAAAAAACCTTAATTTACCTTGACCATAACTTTTGAATGATCAAGGCTAGCTAGGGCTTTTATACTTCACAAATGTAATCCTTGTGAAACAACCTTTCATTGGATACCAAGAGCTTTGACCCTTTGACCTTGGAGTTTGAACAACTTCTCAAAAACTTTGACCTTGGTCACAACTTTTGAACAGTAGATACTTGGACTTTCATATTTCAGATATGTATTCTTTGTAGCAAGACCTTTCATTAGATACAAAATAACGTTGATCTTTTGACCTTGACCTTGGAGATTTCTGTACTTATGAAAAAACTTTAACCTTGACCAAAACTTTTGAATGGTAAGGGCTAGGGCTTTTATACTTTACATATGTAATCCTTGTGAGAAGACCTTTCATTCGATACCAAGAACTTTGACCTTGAAATTGGGAGTTTGACCTACATTTCAAAAACTTTTACCTTCGCCTTAACTATTAAACGATTACTTAGGGTTTTCATCCTTCACACATGTATTACTTGTGACCTTTCTTAAGAAATCATCAACTCAGACCCTTTCATCTTGGAGTTTGACCTACCTTTCAAAAATTTATCCTTGACCATAACTTTTGAACAAGTGATGCTTGGGATTTTGTATTTCACAATCGTATTTCTTGTGAGAAAACCCTACTTAGGTTAATAATATATTTCATTTGCATTTAAGAAAAGTTTAATCTTCATTATGTTGCAATACAGGGTCATCAGTGTTCCACAAACACATCTTGTTCCTTATGCTGAGAAGAGATAGGGCTTTCATATTTGGCATGTGCATTATCGTACCTGTGACAAGATATTTCTGAGCATGCTATGATTTCTTACCCCTTGACCTTGACCTTATTTAAAAAAAAATCAACTTCAGTGATAATTTCTAAATAATTGACATAAGATAGGGTGTTGATATAAGACACAATATGTCATAAAAAAGACATCTCACCCGAAAGACACCGAAAGCGGGGGACCACAGTTCTTTGAATTTGCTTGTTTAAAATAGAAAGATGCCTTTTCTGTACATGAAGCATGATCTTGATTGAAAAAAACACTCATACTTTGACTGATTGGGATTTTTTAGCTCACCTGAGGCAAAGGCTCAAGTGAGCTTTTCTGATCACATTTTGTCCGTCTTCTGTTCGTCCATCCTTCCGTCTGCATCCGTCTAGCTGTCCGTCTCTAAACTTTTCACATTTTTGACTTCTTCTCAAGAACCACTAGGCCAATTTTGACCAAACTTGGTACAAAGCATCCTTGGGTAATGGGGAATTAAAATGGTTAATATGAAGGGCCTAGCCCCTCACAAGGGGAGATAATCAAGAAAAGACAAAAATAGGGTGGGGTCATTAAAAAATCTTCTCCTCAAGAACCACTGGGCCAGAAAAGCTGAAACTTATGTGGAAGCATTCTGGGATTGTGTAGCTTCTAAATTGTTCAAATCATGACCCCGGGGGTAGGGCGGGGCCACAATGGGGAATCCAAGTTTTACATAGAAATATATAGGAAAAATCTTTGAAAATCTTCTTCTCAAGAACCACTGGGCCAGAAAAGCTAAAACCTTTGTGGAAGCATCGTGGGGTAGTGTAGATTCTGAATTGTTCAAATCGTGACCCCTGGGGGTTGGGCGGGGCCACAAAGGGGAATCCAAGTTTTACATAGAAATATATAGGAAAAATCTTTAAAAATCTTCTTTTCAATAACCACATACAGGTCCAGAAAAGGTGAAAAATATTTGGAAGCATCCTGGGATAGTGTAGATTTTAATTTGTCCAAATTATGACCCGTGGGGTCACAATAGTTATCACAAGGGGGAAATCTGGTAAAGAACAGCATCAGTCAAAGCTTCTCAGGTGAGCGATGTGGCCCATGGGCCTCTTGTTCAATGTTACATTCGTAGAAAAATCCAAAGAAAATGGATTAGATTGGATATGAGATGAAAACCATTATTAGAGCTAGTAATAATAGGCATTACCAGGTAAAGTCTCTTATGCAAGAGTTATAGTGTAATTATCATGTGCTCCCAGACTGACTGAATATTATTCTCATATACATATATTCCTTAATTTACGCTAAAGTCTTGTAGCATCCCCCTCTTTCTGGTTTCTCACTTTGGAGACGTATCTGAACTTTACAGAAATTTTCATTATCGGCAAATGTGAACATATTAACATTTGTAAATCATTCATGAAATATAAACTCATCCGTAAAATCCAGAGTGGATGTGTCTTATAAACGTGACTGCATTGATCATTTACATGTACCTCCAAATAAATTGAGAATCTGATATTTTAATCCGATAAATCAGAGATTGCAGTCATCTTCGCTACATTTGCAGCTAACTGTTAATAAACTATCCTAGATGAGCATAACGTAGACTTTTTTTTTCTAAAGGCAAAACTAGCTGCAATTTACAAACGTATTGTTCTCTATGCAGTTTGGAGTAAGCTACCTTAGAAGTGTGTCATTATACTATGAAACGACCTTTTTTATTTTTTACAAAACAAGTGTCTGTGGTTTCTAACTTAAAAAATGAAGCTAGGATTCCCAAGAATAAACTTAGCATGGACAGAGATGGATTCAAATCAGTACTGAGTTTAAACAAGTTTTCTTGAGCTTTTTAATTTGTAGATATTACAGCTTTCAGACCAAGCTCTGAAAGAATATATCTTTATGGTAAGTTTTGAATTTACTGGGTAGGGTAATTAAAGTACAAGATAGGCCAAGTTAACCCCTGGATTTTGGAAGTCTCTATCGATTTAAATGTTCATTTTTAAAAACATGTCAAGATTGTTATATAAAACATTGATATTGATTGTTATAAAAATAAAATAATTTATGGGACAAACAAAGTTAATAAGGTCACAAAATATGCAATTTTCTGAATTTTCTCATTTTTATGCAAATCACCAATTTCCAAGCACAATTACATAGAGCACAAGCTTGCCTATCTACCAAAGGACAAGGTATGGTAACCACTGGATCTGGCCCCTTATTTGATATAAAAATCAGAACAAAGTTAAAAATGGGATAGTTTGTAGTTGAGAACTTACAAAGTTGCTTGTTTTAATCAGCACTGATTTTAATTCAAAGCATACACGGAGGCCACAAGAGGATGCCAAAATAGAACGTTTTCCAAAATTTTCTCAATTCTGGTGGAATTTCGTCAAATTTGAGATAGTTTTCACTTTGGAAAACACAGAGCACAAGCTTCTCTGTCTTAGATTTTTACACATAAGATGCATCTGATACTAGTGTATGAACTATATAGATTTGATAGAAAACCTCAGATAGGTAAGCTTGTGTTCTATATTTCCCCAAGTGAAAAGTATCTTTGAATCAAAAACATCGCTGCTTTTAAAACAAGCATCATTTTAAGTTCTTCACTGCAAGCTACAAACGTGTATCACAATTTTAGCCATGTTTCGATTTTTACATCAAGCAAGGGGCTAAATTCAGCTGTTATCATATATATCTTGTCCTTTTGCATTTACCATCATCTAGAATATTGCAATTCATGAAGCAATGCTCCTATTCTACAAGAAAGGTACAGCTTTCTGAAACTTCCAATCAGAAGATTCGCGTTTATTATAATGAGATAACAGTGAGTACTGAGAACGTATCATTTACTTCGGTAAATCAGATTGCTGATAGTACATCTTCATTAACCATCGAATCAAATAGGATTACTAACAACCGAATCCAAGACTCTTCTTGAATTCCGTTTCGCAAAACATGTCATCAGAAAAGACTAATCAATACAGCAAATCCATACAATCGCTCTGACGACTCTTTAAAGACCAATTGGCTGAATTTATTGCAGATGGAAGTTTCAAAAATACATATTTTCTTGATATCGGTGCATTGAAGCGGCAAATTGAAGCTGTTCTTGAGAGGCTCTTAAGAAGACCACAATGGTGGACCGCATTTCTGATTGACGGTCTATACGTAACACAACAGTCAGACAAGTGCCTGTTACAGAAGTGTCGCAAATTAGAGAGAAGTGTCGGTTACTGTCGTTTTAAGGCTTTTACCAAATTTAATAGTCCTCCTGCATTAACACCGATCGATCGGTTATTAATTATATATCGAATACTCGCATACGAGTCCGGATTCAAGAATATTTCCTGCTTTAATAACAGGAATTTATTCCGTATAGGATTGCCGCCAAGCAAAGGTAAGATGGGGTTTCTATTTCACTTAATTAAATTAAGGCGAGGTTTCTCTTTCACTTGATTAAATTAACATGGCTATCCAAATAAAGGTATTCAGATGACAGTATCAGTTTTGGAATTTTTGAGATTTGCAGGCAACTTGAAAACGGTTTTTAAATTTTATAGAGAAGCTTGACATAATTTTTCTGCAAATCAGTTGTATTTATACAAACGTGATGCCGTCAGTGATTTCTATAGCCTTTACTTGATAATATATTCTTCATTCATATTGTGTCGTACAAGTGACATAATCACGGAGCATCGAGTTCAGTGAGGTGTTGGCAGGCTAGGTAAATTTAGTTTAAAAATGTTCAAAATGATCTTTCTTGGTTCTTTTACTGAAAATAGTAAAACGTGTCTGAAATTGTAGTCTTTACTGCTCATGATCTATGTTAGCATGCAGCGTTAATTGAAAATGCATCAACTTTTTAGCTCACCTGGGCCATAGGCTCAAGTGAGCTTTTTCAATCAAAATGAGTCCGGCGTCTGTATATCGTCAGATGTTTGTCACCTGTAAGATTTTGAAAACGTTCGACTTCTCCAGAATTATTGTGTAAATTTCTAACAAACCCGATTCAAAGCATACATGAGTAATGGTCTTATGTAATTCAAGTTTATTCAAATGAAAAGCCACTTGAGTCACTATTATATAAATATTGCATGTACTTGAGTCAGTTGAGTGTAACACTGAAAATTTTCACCCCAAGAAAACCATTGTCAACCGAGACGCAGCCAAAGTTGACAATGGTTTTCGAGGGGTGAAAATTTTCAGTGTTACACTCAAGTACATGCAATATTTATCATATTATACTGACTGTTTTATACAAATACATATAATAGTGAACCGTGCGCGCATAAATTCTGCGCAGTTGCTATTTTTGGAATATCACCCGTCGTCAAGCAATGTTGACTGTTGCTACGCTGGAGGGCGTGGCTTCATTATTCAGCGGGTAATAGTGTTTTTTTAACAAATGTTTGTCGACCAATCAGATTCAACTAATTAACATGAAAGTATAGTAGTACTACCTGTTTTGTACGTCATCGTGCAGTCTTACTGTTAGCCAAATTCAAAGCCTTCTACAAAAATTGTGAATTTCAAGATCAATTGTTCTGGCGACAAGGGAGGGCTCTGAAGATCTAATAGTAAAATGCATAAATTCTCCCTTTACCCTGCTAGGTTATATATTAAACAGTCAAACCCAATTGAAAAGAAATTACGCATAAAGGTAGGCCCAAGTCTTCCAAAATTGTGGACTTTGCGGCCTGTGTGTTAAAGGTTCTCTTGTTACGGCGAGGCTCTCAAGGTCATATACTAGAATGGAAAAAATGCATTTACAGTTTGAAAATCAATCTTCTTTTCTACACCAAAGTTTTAGAATAAATATTAAAAAAGACATTATCAGAAGCAAGGAATTAAGAAAATCAAGGCCCCCATGGCTAGGGTTCTTGAGATAGGGCTAGGGCTCTATTATGATCATCAAAAGGAATATTTACTCTACTTTTTAATTATTTATGAAGTTATTCCCCATTGTCATTCAGTTATTATAGTTAATCAATGCAAGTAATGCAAATGTTTAGTAAATTAAATCTAAAAATATATGCTCCTTCTCTGTATACTATAAAACGTATGTAGCTGCATAAAGTCAAGTATACGTAGATTGTGGCTGTTTTACTAGACTTCACCATTCTGTAGATTACTAGTACTGATAACACAGGTATACTGATATTGAAGAATCACAATTTGTGAATTCAGCTTTTGTTTTATTCCTAATTGGTGGATTCAGTTTTTGTATTACTCAAAATTTGTGTATTTAAGGTCTTCCGTCTTCACGGAAGACCTTATAGTTATTGCTCTGTTTCTTCTTCTTCTTCTTCTTCTTCTTATTATTATTATTATTTTTCTGACACGATTTCTCGACAACTACTGGATAGAATTACATGAAATTTTCAGGAAAGATGTGTTGTAAGATATCTTGAAAGTCCAAGACAGTTTTTGGAAATTCCTCTCTGGTGCCAAGTTTTGGACCATTTTCTGATTTTAAAACGACAAGATTAAACTTAAAAGATATCAATGTGAAACTTTGAGAGTTTATAGATGATGTACTTTCCAGGACGCACAGTACTTCCTGTCGCTACCGGAAGCCAATTCAAAAAGTCCAAATTTTCAACTTTCTTTGTTTTTCAATATTTTTCATTTATTTTTGGAATATTAATAGAGACACTTCTATTGATGCTTACTATATAAGTTGTTTTAATATTAGTTAATCTGAACTCTAGATATCTGAAGCGGGCCCAAGATGGCGGCTGTCTCTGTCAACTCCGACATTTCGCGAGTAGGGGCTTATATGAACGTTTGATTAAACCATTCTGACATAAGGATAAGAAATGCAAAAAACTACAATTTGTGCAATTCAGCTTTTACGTTTCACTGCTTTAGTGTTTCCGATATGTAATGTGTACAATGTGTTAAATATATTCAGAAATTTTAAGAATGTTTTATTTTATTAATTTCAAAGCTATTGCACCTCTTTAATAGATTCAAAGAAAAGGTGCGAATATTTTTGTATTCCCAATAGCTAAATGGTTCGCGCGTTGGGGAGAAAAGAGAAAAAAAAATTTGTGTATTTCAAAATTTTGAATCACTTTTTAGTTCGATTTTACAATTTTTTTTTTGTATTTGCTCAAAAAAATTGTATTTTATCACAAATTCAAAAAAATGTCATGACCAAAGTTCTTCATGTGAGGGAGATGGCCCATGGGCCTCGTAATATTAATGGTCCTAAGAGATTTATTTCACATAAGAGGCCTGAATCATACGACTATATATCGTTTAAGGCAGCTGCAATAATCATCTTATTTTTATCCCTATCGGTTTTCAGGTGCTCTGTTTTTTCCGAGGTATCTTTGAACGTAGCAGATACCGATGGTATTTTCCCTATTTGTCACATAAGAAACAGACTTATATAAAAACAGTGCAATATTTTGATTATATGGCAAAGAAAGTGGGATGCTTTCAATCCAAGAGATACATTGTATAATGCCAAACTATGTCGGAGATAGAAGCAAAAATGGATTGCTAAAAGTATATATATACTAATGGATGAATTAATATGAAAGGTACAAAAACTTTCTCAGCAATTCATTCCCTAGCAAAGTCTGAAAACACACATACAAAAAACTACAGGTATCTTTCACAGTTCCTCACAAAACTGTATTGTATCGCTGCTTCCTGCTCGATAATACCTACGTCGTAGTGCTGGGCAATAAACGTCACTGCATGAAGTGTGTTTCGGAAAATTATGTCGCTTTCATGTAATCACTTTTTACGCTATATTTGTTTGTGGGACAGAAAATCCATATCGAATGCAATATTAATATTCAGATAGAGAAAGGTTATCATGGATACGCCGAGTTTTCAGGAACCCCCAACTTAAAGCATATAGTTCATTAATAAGTGTTTGGCCCTTTAAGCAATCGATACTTAGTACTGTAGACGTTTGAGCTAATCAGCCAAACAAAGGCATACCAATAAAAACTATTGAAACATTTTGACTTGAATATAGCAATCATTACTACTAATGTGGGCACTTGATCAATACCAATAAACTGACTATTTATACGCTCTTAATTTACTTTATTTGTCAAACATTAAAGTAAAATAAAAAAAAAGGTCCTAATTAAAAATTTTCAATTGCCAATGATAATATGCCATGTACTCAATGGTAATTAGGAAATTGTCAATGATAAATAACCTCATGGATTCTTGGACAATGATCTATAAACTTTTATGAAATACGATTTAATCACTACTTATCCGAATTTCAACTCTCCATCCCTGAGCGAACTGGAATATACAATTTACTGTAGGGTTGGTCGTGAATAGAACGCTCCACTTTTTCAGTTCGTATGAGCTTATGGCTCCCTGACCGCTGTTAACTCTGAATTTGGAAACACTGCATTTAAGTCTGGTCTGGCAAAATGTCCTTGTATATATATAGCCTATTTTCTACAAAAATACTTTATGAAATAAAAACTTTGATTAAGATTTTGATATTTAATTAAGAAAATCGATTTTAATATAAGAAGTTTTATCTTAGTTTGTGCTTTTTAGTTTTAATATAATAGTTATTTTAATTACTTTCAGAAATGTCGTTAAATAGTCAGATGTCCCCAAATCCAAAACGCCGGAAAAACAAGGTCAAACTGAAGCTATCATGGGACGCACCCACGAAGGAGGAGCTTATTGCAGAACAGATTGATGACTTCGTAAGTGACGTCATCAAAAGTGCAAAATTGGAATACCTTGCACAAGAGCGAAAAAACAGTTTAAATGGTTATTATTTTTTAAAATTTCCATATATCTCCTTTTGTTTGCAATACATTTTAATTTGATTTTTAAAAATGTAACCTTCAATTTTAAGATGGTAAAAAAAGAAGTTTTATTCTTATTTATATAACGCTGTATCAACCAAAGAAGAACATGGGATGTATTTCCACGATGATCTAAACGAAGAAATGATAGAACTAAACACAAGTGAAATAATAGGATCCCAGGAGAGCATACACGGTAATGTAAGTGTGTATAATTATGGTCAATTGAAAAAAAAACTTTTTTTTTTCAACGTACAGTGACAGATTTGATATAAGTTGAAAAATAAACTTCATCATTTATTCAGGAACTAGGGCCAAAATAAAATTATTATAGTTTGTTTCGCATTGCCTCCCGCCTCATTGATATGCCCCTTCCTGAAAAAATTTTATTGACCAAGAGTAGGAAGATTTTTTTTTATTCATTTTTGTTTTCGCCCATTTCATGTATCACATGCACCATACAAAACACTGAAATATAGTGTCAGATCTATGTAAAATTAGGTTTTTTATTGATGGGAGATACTTTTTTAAAATGTCAGAAAATGCTTTTACCGTTTACTGAGATTTTTTTTATCAAAATTTATCTTCAATAAAAAAAAAAATTCCCTCCCTCCCTCCTGTGTCAAAAACCCTTCAGGCGGCAATTCCAAACAAACAATTTTTTAAGGATGGCCTAGTCCATATGTAATGGCATACCTCCCTAATCAGATATTGACACTCTGTATGTACCCTATCTATTGACACTGTATGTGCCCTATCTATTGACACTCTGTATGTACCCTATCTACTGACACTCTGTATGTCCCCTATCTATTGACACTCTGTATGTACCCTATCTATTGACACTCTGTATGTCCCCTATCTATTGACACTCTGTATGTACCCTATCTATTGACACTCTGTATGTCCCCTATCTATTGACACTCTGTATGTCCCCTATCTATTGACACTCTGTATGTCCCCTATCTATTGACTCTCTGTATGTTCCCTATCTATTGACACCCTGTATGTACCCTATCTATTAACACTGTATGTACCCTATCTATTGACATTGTATGTACTCTATCTATTGACATCCTGTATGTACCCTATCTATTGACACCCTGTATGTACCCTATCTATTGACACTCTGTATGTACCCTATCTATTGACACCCTGTATGTACCCTATCTATTGACACCCTGTATGTACCCTATCTATTGACACCCTGTATGTACCCTATCTATTGACACCCTGTATGTACCCTATCTATTGACACTCTGTATGTACCCTATCTATTGACACTCTGTATGTATCCTATCTATTGACACCCTGTATGTACCCTATCTATTGACACCCTGTATGTACCCTATCTATTGACACCCTGTATGTACCTATTTATTGACACTCTGTATGTACCCTATCTATTAACACTGTATGTACCCTATCTATTGACACTCTGTTTGTACCCTATCTATTGACACCCTGTATGTACCCTATCTATTGACACTCTGTATGTACCCTATCTATTGACACCCTGTATGTACCTATTTATTGACACTCTGTATGTACACAAATGTACTCTATCTATTGACACTCTGTATGTACCCTATCTATTGACACCCTGTATGTACCCTATCTGTTGATACTCTGTATGTACCCTATCTACTGACACTCTGTATGTCCCCTATCTATTGACACTCTGTATGTACCCTATCTATTGACACCCTGTATGTACCTATTTATTGACACTCTGTATGTACCCTATCTATTGACACTGTATGTGCCCTATCTATTGACACCCTGTATGTACCCTATCTATTGACACTGTATGTGCCCTATCTATTGACACTTTATGTACCCTATCTATTGACACCCTGTATGTACCTATTTATTGACACTCTGTATGTACCCTATCTATTGACACCCTGTATGTACCCTATCTATTGACACCCTGTATGTACCCTATCTATTGACACCCTGTATGTACCCTATCTATTGACACCCTGTATGTACACCTCTGTATGTATTTATTAACACTCTGTATGTACCCTATCTATTGACACTCTGTATGTATCCTATCTATTGACACCCTGTATGTACCCTATCTATTGACACCCTGTATGTACTCTATTTATTAACACTCTGTATGTACCCTATCTATTGACACTCTGTATGTACCCTATCTATTGACACCCTGTTTGTACCCTATCTATTGACACCCTGTATGTACCCTATCTATTGACACTCTGTATGTACCCTATCTATTGACACCCTGTATGTACCCTATCTATTGACACTCTGTATGTACCCTATCTATTGACACCCTGTATGTCCCCTATCTACTGACACTCTGTATGTACCCTATCTATTAACACTGTATGTACCCTATCTATTGACACTCTGTTTGTACCCTATCTATTGACACCCTGTATGTACCCTATCTATTGACACCCTGTATGTACCCTATCTATTGACACCCTGTATGTACTCTATTTATTAACACTCTGTATGTACCCTATCTATTGACACTCTGTATGTATCCTATCTATTGACACCCTGTATGTACCCTATCTATTGACACCCTGTATGTACCCTATCTATTGACACTCTGTATGTACCCTATCTATTGACACCCTGTATGTACCCTATCTATTGACACCCTGTATGTACCCTATCTATTGACACCCTGTATGTACCCTATCTATTGACACTCTGTATGTACCCTATCTATTGACACCCTGTATGTCCCCTATCTATTGACACTCTGTATGTACCCTATCTATTGACACCCTGTATGTCCCCTATCTATTGACACCCTGTATGTACCCTATCTACTGACACTGTATGTACCCTATCTATTGACACCCTGTATGTACCCTATCTATTGACACACTGTATGTACCCTATCTATTGACACTGTATGTACCCTATCTATTGACACTCTGTATGTCCCCTATCTATTGACACCCTGTATGTACCCTATCTATTGACACCCTGTATGTACCCTATCTATTGACACTCTGTATGTACCCTATCTATTGACACTGTATGTACCCTATCTATTGACACCCTGTATGTACCCTATCTATTGACACTGTATGTACCCTATCTATTGACACACTGTATGTACCCTATCTATTGACACTCTGTATGTACCCTATCTATTGACACCCTGTATGTCCCCTATCTACTGACACTCTGTATGTACCCTATCTATTGACACTCTGTATGTACCCTATCTATTGACACCCTGTTTGTACCCTATCTATTGACACCCTGTATGTACCCTATCTATTGACACCCTGTATGTACCCTATCTATTGACACTCTGTATGTACCCTATCTATTGACACTCTGTATGTACCCTATCTATTGACACCCTGTATGTACCCTATCTATTGACACTCTGTATGTACCCTATCTATTGACACCCTGTATGTACCCTATCTATTGACACCCTGTATGTACTCTATCTATTGACACTCTGTATGTGCTCTATCTATTGACACTCTGTATGTACTCTATCTATTGACACTCTGTATGTACTCTATCTATTGACACTCTGTATGTACTCTATCTATTGACACTCTGTATGTACCCTATCTATTGACACTCTGTATGTACCCTATCTATTGACACCCTGTATGTACCCTATCTATTGACACTGTATCCTATCTATTGACACACTGTATGTACCCTATCTATTGACACCCTGTATGTACCCTATCTATTGACACCCTGTATGTACCCTATCTATTTACACTCTGTATGTACCCTATCTATTGACACCCTGTATGTACCCTATCTATTGACACTCTGTATGTACCCTATCTATTGACACTCTGTATGTACTCTATCTATTGACACCCTGTTTGTACTCTATTTATTAACACTCTGTATGTACCCTATCTATTGACACACTGTATGTACCCTATCTATTGACACCCTGTATGTACCCTATTTATTGACACCCTGTTTGTACCCTATCTATTGACACCCTGTATGTACTCTATTTATTAACACTCTGTATGTACCCTATCTATTGACACCCTGTATGTACCCTATCTATTGACACTCTGTATGTACCCTATCTATTGACACCCTGTTTGTACCCTATCTATTGACACCCTGTATGTACACAAATGTACTCTATCTATTGACACCCTGTATGTACCCTATCTATTGACACTGTATGTACCCTTTCTATTGACACTCTGTATGTACCCTATCTATTGACACCCTGTATGTACTCTATCTATCGACACTCTGTATGTACCCTACCTATTGACACTCTGTATGTACCCTATCTATTGACACCCTGTTTGTACCCTATCTATTAGACACCCTGTATGTACCCTATCTCTATTGATGTACCCTATCTATTGACACCCTGTATGTACTCTATCTATTGACACTCTGTATGTACCCTATCTATTGACACTCTGTATGTACTCTATCTATTGACACCCTGTATGTACCCTATCTATTGACACCCTGTATGATGTATCCTATATGTATGACAGCTGCTGCCATTTTCAATCAAAAATCAACATTTAATTTTCTATAATATACAAGCTTGTAGCTTAATTTATTTATATATATTCATCACTTGAATTGAACAACAAATTTCAATGTCTATATTCTTTCTCTTATTAATTAGCTTTAGATCAACATCAGTATGTACATGGTATTGTGTATCTGTATCTTATTAATAACTCGGCTGCCGGTGTTTGATCCCATGTCATGTCGTAAATATTTTTCATCCAATATTTTCTCTGCATACGTAAACATTTCCATTAATGGAAAAAAATATTTACAATGCTATTGGACTTAGCTGAGACCATCACTATGTTCAATATAGTCTATTTTTGAGGTTGCGAGAAATAATTGCTTTATTGGCACCTAAAATTGATCTTATTCGACCAGTCATTGGATCAAGTGAAAAGGTCATTTAATTACCAAGCTCATTTCATATTCCCTTTCTTCTTTTAATTGCTTTACTATAGAAGCATGTCCCTGTGTGTGATAAATGAGATTCATTCAACACAATTAGCGACAACACGTTTTGCTGTTTTTGATCGGCTGTGGTGTTCCTTTGTTTCTGGGAGTCACGTGATGGAATTGTTTCTTCTTCCGTTATTTTCTTGACTCAAAGAAAGTTCTTACACTAAGAAAGAGGATTTAAGGATTTTGAGAGACTTTTATCATGTTAAGGTGTATACTAGTATACTGCGTTTATCTATTTACTATTCTTAATTAAGGTTGTCTGGTAGATTTCCTAGCCTGGTTCCCTGTCCCTTTTTTGTTTCGTGTACTTCGCGTCTCTAGGCAAGTGATGTCTTGTCTTGGCAAGGATGTGACAGGGGACCAGGCTAGTAGATTTGCAAACTAGCTGCCATATTTACATGTATTTTAAAGACGATGATGGATATTACGCAAATGTAACGTGCGAAATTATGATTTCATTACTTTACATCAATGGTCAAATATCACGTGTTTTAAATTGTCATTTAATATGAATTTCCGTCAATGACATAAAAGGGAGAATTAAAATAATAATTGAATGACCTTTTTTTGATTAACTTTCGACACGTCAGTTGTGTCTTTTTCGTATTCTTTCGAGACATTTAGGTATTAAACTTCGTACTGCTATGAAATTTGTAAATGGAAATTGTTGTTGTTGTTGTCTTAAACTATTTCCCAAGTTAAGACAAAGTCGATTCAAAGTATCAAAGATGAGGATAAATATCATCTGTCCGCCTTCCGCAGTGTAAGGTCGAATCCAAAAATATTACCTCCATTAATTTGTATTACGTCGTCTTGATAGATTATAAGGATTAGTGTAGTGATACCTATGGATTGTCAACTCACCGACTTTACGGAAATCAATAAACACCAAGTAATTATTTAATTCATTGAAAACAGACACTGGAACACATACATAGGTTAACAAGTTTTCGGCTTTGGGTATTTATAGAAACAAGAAAATGTTATTGCTTTTTTGATTGACCACTTGTATTATTGCTATTAAATAGTAATGATTTTTCGTGACTGAGCACCATTTATGGATTTATAATGTGTGCATTAATTCCAATACTTTATTACTTTCTCTTAAATAAAATAGTCAGAGAAAATGAGTGGGTTTTTTATATTTTGGAAGTGTCTCATTTTGCACATCACAATATCCATATATGGAAATATTACGTGTTGTTTATTTGAAAGAATCAAAAGGTTTGAGTTAACTGACTTTCTCGTGGTTAAATAGTAGACGTGATTTCTAAGTTAATTGTTTCCTCGATATTCCGAATGTTTACACTATGTGCCACTTGTTTTCTCTTTTTACAGTGATCATTTGTAAGACAAATTTGGAAACAACATGACGACAGCAAACATTATTTTATGCTTTCATCAGATTTCCCTCGCGATCATCGCACCCCAGGGTGTAATTAGAGCCTCTTTTGTATCAAAGAAATGAAAAATTAATATAACACTAGCAGTGTTTAACTTCGTAGTTTCGCTCAGCCGGGATGCAGTGTCACCATTCTATCATATGTATCCATCGAAGCTAATGTAGTATTTATGAAGCATTACGAGTAAAGAAAGTAAAATCTTAATTGATTTACATAAAACATTTCCATACTGCAAGCTTCAGTCTTTTTAAGAGATTATTTTTTCTTTTTCATCGCAGAGAATTGTTTCGGATCAATGTCATTATAATCATCTTTTGAGATTTCATTGCTTACTTATGAAAGAAAAAATGTATCTCAAGCTCTCAAACGCTTTTAAGTAATCTCTTTAATCAAAGGAAGAATGTAGCAAATCCCTCTTATCAAAGAAATAAGTATCGATGTAGAAAAATTACTGATCCTCATACATGTATGAGATTTTTTTTGGTCATTTAAATGTATATTGTATGCTTTGTATGAAAGAAAATATATAGAGTGAGATTTGAAGATTCTTATATGATTGATTGATTGTATGTTGTTTGACGTCCCATTCGAGAATTTTTAATTCATATATAGACGGCAAAATATGAAAGTAAAAGAAAGATTTCTGTGTCTGAAAAAACCCATTGTTTTTAGCGTCCACCTTCTCTTATACATACAGCACAATTTCGTTAAAATGAATATGTAGTGATAAAAACAGCATACACGATATTAATAAATTTACAATTTGCATACTGTCCATTCTTCAAGTAAATGTTCTAAATGCAGATATAATATACTGGAAAATAAAACCATTCATTGTGTTTATTTGAATTTGTTGGGCATCTCAATACTAGACAATATACTGAAAATTGGGATCACGATAGCCCTTGATATCGCTTACAGCAGACTTGCTATCTTAATGAGAGTATCCAACATTGGAAATTCAATTAACTTCTGATTTAGAAGAAAATATTGGAATTTCTGCCAAAAAACAAGCGTAGACTTGGCATGATTATCTTTCCCTTGAATTATTCAAGACCACTCCTCAGAAAAGCAATCTTTTATTGAAAAAAAATGTCGGCTTCAAATGACACTGCCTCCATAAAAGTGCTGATTGTGTTGATACAAATTTGATTTCTTCAAAATTAGGGCACAAATATCTCAATACAGTGTATTAATATTTCATTTGGAAAAATATCCTAGTGTATTGTATTATATGATGTGTGATACATACGTTTTCGCAACATATACATGTACTTTTATATCGCCCGTCACGAGTAGGGGCATTGGTTTTTAAGGTCTCATGGGACATCAAAACGGATCGCAACTTTCACTTTAAAGAGCCGAGCGAATGGAGAAGGAACAGTTGCCACAGACCTCTTTTTATCGCGTTAGGTCAGTCGCAGCCGAGATTCGAATTCACGACCTCCCGATCACGGAGAAAGCGGTCTAACGACTGAGTTACCATAACGGTACCTAACTTTGAAGCTTGCATGTTTCTACTTGACCTTTCAGGGGTCTGAGGCGCAATAGATATAATTTTCATCGATTTGCCAATCAAACGCCGACAGATAAAATTTTTCCTTCGCTTAGACATCAATTAACGATCTTTAAATGAACCCATCCTTGCACTTTTATGATATGTTCTTCTTCATGATCCATATTTCCTAGCCACTCACTGATAACGATATTTATTATTACGGGGGACTCATCAATTACCATTATTCCGGTTTCGTGTGATGATTAATTTGATATCTTTTATAGTTAACTAGTATAGCACACAAAACGAATATGATTTATTGTACATGTATGTTGTTCGATGGAGTATACGTCTAATTTATATGAAATCTGGCCAATTGGCCACATACTAGTACTTGAAGTTCAATATGTACTATCGAGCACAAAGTCGCAAACCACAGCTATAATGTACGATCCTCTCCCAGCTAAATGCGGACTCCGAACCGTGGCTTGAGACGATGTATCGAGTATGGACTGTAGGGTTGATGGTGCAATGACAACGACGCGACGCTATGACGACGATGGCGCAAAACGATGAATATGACACGAAAACGCGATTGCGATAGTGCCATAGAACAATAAAAGATAGCAATATTTGCTTCATTACCATCGCTTCATCAGCAACGCACAGTCATGTAATTGTTATCATATACCATCGCGTCATCGCACTAACAACGCTCCATCGTCATAACATTGTCGAATATCATTGCACCATCACAACAACATGGATCATGGATAGCTTTTGCACTGTTGGCATACCGGTATTTTCCATATGTTGTTATATTGTCACATTCCTCCTGAATACTTTATTATGTATAATTATGCTACAGGACTTGAACGCAACATTTTTTCTTCCTTAACAAAGCTGGGACATGTTTAACATAAAGATGACTTGAGGAGCGTACGTACTCTCACCCCCAAATCTAAAGCATTTACAGTTAGGTGGGGAAGTTTACGATACGAATGAAATAATATACAGTGTGTAGTAAATTTTAACCTTGCCAGTTATACTAGTTTTCGAAGGGGTGTTTCCTTTCGGGGAGGTTTAGGTTTGTCATCAAAGAGGCACATTCATTGTACTCTGATTATTAATTAAGTAGGTTAGGGACACACATTATATTACATGTGCTTTCTTATTCTTCAGAACACTGATAATCAGACTTTTGAAATGCACTCCAGGAAAGACCGAGGGCGATCTGATCACAATCCATCCAGAAACTGTACACGTGCGTATAGAGTAAAATACCAGTATGTTACGTGTGCTTTTAAACAGGGAGATTGTATATTGTGTATAAAGGCCGGTATAAATTACATATTTTACAAACGTATTTTGCATGCATGCATCTAAATTCACAGGGTAAATAGGCCTTTGTCAGTTTTAATAGGTGTTGGATCTTGACAGATCGAATAGAAATTGTCAAGATGCATGAAAAGAAAGTTCAGAGTTGAGATTAGATCATGTGTCTTATTTTTCTCCATATGGTTGAAAAAATTGCATACCTTAAGAATACATGGAGATAACGAATAGTATTCAAGCTCAAAATAGGAGCAGATCAAATTCGGACCCCCGAAACATCAGAGGTGGGATCAGGTGCCATGGAGGAGTCAACATCCCCTGCCAAATAAGGAATAATTCGTTTGAAGCTAATATAATTTAGAAGGCCTTGGATGGCTTTGTTTTTAAGGGGCTAAATCTGCATATTTACATGTATAGTGTATTTTTTTAATGCACGTGTCGAGACACAAAGTCAGATATCAAAATACAGGAGGCAAAATAGAAGAATGAGTTCAGATGCATGTGTCAAGATGCATAGTGTAAACCGGCCTTAAATGAAGGGAAATGAAATCTTTATGTCTTCGAATATTCGACAAAATGAAAAGTATTAATATAATAGATATAAATAGAATGTAATCAAATTAATATATAGCAGCATTTTTACTTTCAGCTTTCCCTGTTTGATTTTTCCATATTTGGTATCTATATTGAAATAGTACTTCTATTATAATTTTCACTATTCATTGGCCCATTAGTACAGATTTCTAAAATTAATTTGATTTATGTTCCTGAGACTGTGTTTGCTATGGACAAAGATCCTCTAGCAGTAATCTCTCTTAGAAATAGCCAAGAACTTACGCTAAGTACAGACATTCTCGAGAGCACGACTAATGGTATAAGAAATACATGCTTATATCAATACATATCCTTCTAGTATGCTACAAGTACATGTATACATTACAGGACATGAAAAATCATTGCAGATGTTCTATGCTCATAAGAAAAATCAAATCTCAGAGTACAAATGTATGCGAAATATTGAGAATTGACCAGAAATTTCAATCCCATTCAATGTTAAACATAAACTGTTATACACCGGAAGTTACATTTTTGAATGATAAAATAAAGCAATTAATAGCAGAGATCTTTGTTTAAATTTATTTCAGACCGACCATCAGAATTAAATGAGGGAAACCCCCTGCTTGCAGACAGTGCCAATTTGCCAAAGAGGAGGTACCTCCGACTATTTCAAAGACACGTACTAAGAATGTGCTGTCATTGCTCGTGTGTATTTAATGGAAATGACGTCACTTAGAAACAGAAGTGAAGGCGCCATCTTGAATATTTTTCACATCTTTAAAGATTTAAGCATTCTTTATATTTTATTACAGCCTATTTCTTATGTTGAAAACAATCTTTTGTTGTAAAAATGTTTTGAAAATAAAATCTTTACTTTGTTGTTAAAAAATTATGGTATTAATTTTAGCGTTTTTAAAAAAAATTTTCACAGAAATTATTACGTAATAAATATTTTCTTAGTTTGTGATTTTCTACATGATCACAATGTATTTGTGGTTAATCAAGGTTACACTAAATATTGTTTTTGTAAAATAGTTTCATCTATCTGATTTCAATTTCAAAGCTGGTCATTAAACTGTCCAAGTAAAAGTAGATAAAAAAGTTTGTAAACGGAACCCCTAAATTTTGTAAAGCATTGCTATTAACATATTCTTTAGTAGCTGATGTAATTTAAATAGTTGCTAGTTTATCTTAAAGATAAACTCACTTAACACATTTTAGAAGCTGAATCCGTTTTAGAAAAGACTTAAAATGTCGACAGATCAAAATTGTTACTATAGGAGAAACTTGAAAAGTGCTTCAGTGTTGTGACAACATGCAAGGTTTTGGGAATTTTTTTGCAGCAGAAGAAGACAAACGGTTATTGAAGAATCCTAATTTAAAAGTACGATAAACCGAAAATATTATTAAGCCAAGTCCTTGCACTCACATTACCATCATCGGCCTAAGGTTAGAGCTTTCGTGCATTTGTCTACTGTATAGGGATTTGATTCAAACATGCCTTTCTGAACAGAAAAAAATACATGTACATGCTGTCAATTTTAAAGATAACTAGAGGTATTGTGAGCAATGAGCTCGCTAAATGATACTCCCGCCTCCCACATGGTTATAATGGCTAAAGTCCATGTTTTGCTGTGGCCTGGAAACCCAAAATATGTGTCGGATGAAAAAGTAAAATAGGAGTTGCACAATTGGCAATATGTAATAAAAATTCTGTGAAAGTTTCATTAAATTTTACTCACTGGTATAAGAGGAGTTGCGGATAAGAGATGGGTTCCCCAAAGCGTAACAAAGAGACAGACGGACGTAACAGAGAGACAGACGGACATACCGATTACTATAAATCTTCCCGCTTTTCAAGCGGGATTATAATAATAAATTGCAATGTTTTCTGACAATTTATTTAAGGACAGATGATACAAACTTACGTCAGAATAATTGAAAATAACAACTTAGGTCATGTTTAAATTAATAAATTAGATAAGTTTTACCACATGGTTTTTAATTTTTTATTCAAAATTTCACAAAAATGTGATTTGAAGTGAAAAATATTTGTATAGATGGTTTCAGACAGGCAGGCTTTTGAACATCAAAGAAGGTCTACAATTTCTTTACATTCTAGAAATTTACTATTTGCATCATTTGCAATGAAATTAGGCCAAAAAATATATATCAATCCAGGCATCCATTTTTTTGTTTGTATCATCTGTCCTTAAGACCCGATTCACTTTAAATTTCAAAATATTCTCAAACGAATAAAAACAAAAAATGATAAATTATATTTTATGATAATAAACTAGATTCTATTCACCTAAAGTCTGCGAGTTTCATTGTAAATCGGATTGGATTGGCAATAAACCAGTACTACTTATTGTTTTCCTGAATTCCTAGAATATGTAGATTTCCGGATGACGAATTGCCTATCTCTCATGCCTTTAGCAGGTGTCAGCTTTTCTCTAGACGCTACAGAAAACGTGTAAGGTAATCAAACCGATATAAAGGACATTGTTTCTGAAAAGAATTGATGGGAAATGTAATTTACACTCTCATTACTTTCTACTTTGTGGGTTTCAAATACTCTGGTAAATTGATAACTGAAACTCGAGTCGTGATCACGTTCGTTCTCAGGGAACAGGAGGGAAGTGATATTGAATGTGGTAAATATCCTCTAATGATACAAGTGTCAGTGTTCATTCAAGTCTTAATCATGCATTAGTGTTATATAATTTGTCTTATTTTGGTCCTTTAAACCACAGGACATTACTTCTTTCTAATGTTTTCAGGAACAATTTACTAATTACTTTTCCTTGATGTAGTTAACCAAGAACATTTTTCATGCTTTTACTATTTCGCTTATCATTAATTAAATTTTACGGATATTACATATTTTACGATGCTCCACATATTTTTTTTTTATTTCAGGAGTGCAGCTGGCATGATGGAGTAGTCAAAAATAAAGTTATAAACAATACAAATATAATTATCGATAACCCAGAAGGAATAGTTTTTACAGATTTAAATTTCTCGCTAAAAAGGAATTCATGAATTCGAAACATACAATACTTATTAAAACTGGGGTTTTTGAAATCAAATAGTATTAGTTTAATGCATTATTAGACTACAGTTCTTGATTATATCATAAATTTCTGAATCATTTACTTCATCTAGGTCTTTGAAAAATTAAGTTTAATATTTCATTCCAACAATTAAAGTAGGTTTGAAAAGAAGAACGTGATATTTTCCTACGCCACTTTTCTACCAAAAATATAGCCCCTTTCTAGATTTCGAAATCAGTTTTCTATTGAAATTTTTTTTCTCTTTCATTTGTTTCAACCGGTATATTGTGACGTCTCTATATAAGGAAATATTCTGGATTGGGACGTAAACAATATAAAATCAATCAATTTAGTCTATCAATCTTATATTTGTTAGAAGAAAAGAAAAATATGACCTTTATTTTTTTTTTTATATCTCAATATAGAAGACATTTACGCACACTTTGAACATTTTAATCAGTCAAAAACCAGACAAGAATTCCTTGATATGAGAAAGGTCGGGAAAAAAATTGATTTCTAAAAATATAGTACATGTTTTTTATGCCCTCGTAATCGAAAGAGTATAAAGTGTTTGCCCTGTTCGTTTGTATGTCTGTCGGGTTAATCTGTCATTATCTTTTGGAAAAAAATCAATGATTTTTGGATTCGATTTGACTTCTAATATTTACACTCATTATTTTCATAATATTATCGTACAATCCAAATTGCAAATACTAGTTGCCAGAATCATGAAAATATAAATCTACTTTTCTTCAATTCAGCTGCAAAACAGGGTCCTGTGGTTGAAAAAGGTTCTCCATGTTCCAATATGTAATGAAATAAAACACTTGGTTTAACGAAGCATCAAATTCAATTGCTATAAACAAAAAAATCCTTTTCAGCAATCATTTTATTTTCATAAATTTATCCCAAATATTACAATTTAAATCATACCAGGAAACGGCAAACATAAATTTGGCACTTTACAAGGGGAAAACATCACTCACCAACTTGTGAAATTTTAAATTCTACACACATCCTACCATGTATTATATACACATGTATACATATATTTACATAGAAAAAAAAACAAACAATGGAAAGACCTTAATAAAGTCATATAGCATGCTGAAGGGTAGCCCTTGAATAAATATCACAGTCAGAGGTATTTATTGCATCGGAGAGAACATTCCAATGATATTTTGAATTAACACATTTTTTCCTTGAAAATTATTTCCCATCCGAATTCATTGTTGTTTTTTAAAAAGAAAGACCTTTTTAAAATCGTACTTGCTTTTATATAATTGAATATGAAGTATTTTCTTTCATCTAATAAAGTTGTACAATTTTCATGTACTGGTAGATTCCATGGAAATATGGGAACTACTAGAAATAGAATTTGTATACCCGTGCATAAAATTATTATTGAGACAAAACAGTAATATTTCTAATGATCCTTTTAAAAAGTGTGCATTAAATTTCTCTTCAGGGTATCTAGTATTTGGACAATACTCCTGTCTGACAAGTCACATAATCCACATTCTGTACTTGATAAATATCTAGATCTACGGAATGGTTGTATCAATCCATTTTCTCTCCTTCATACCATACATGGCGGTAGAAGCTGGAGCGTGCTGCCCATCTCTTCCACGGACAAGCGCCTCTTTGACCTTGCGATAAGCCTTTTTCTTCTTTGCCTCAATTTCACGAATAATTTGCATCATTTTCCGTCGAACATTAACAACAATGAAAACAGCAATGGCGGCCACGGTGAAACCGATCAACAACAGGAGGTAGAATAAAATCTGATGCCATGTGTAGCAAAAGATATTGGAAACAACACCTGTAGAGGAAAGATAAATTCTAAGTTAAATCCTAAAACAATTGGATGAATGTTTCTGTTTAGCCTATGATAACAAAAAATAGGTCTATTAAATATATAGGTTATAAATTGATATAAATTCATCTGTATTCATATGTGATTATAATATCTGTAATGTTGATTAATTTTGCATTTTGAAATAAGGTTTTAAAGTTTAAAACCCAGGCGATGTGATGTATATGTCTTCTGTTTAATTTTTACATAATTATATATACATTATCTTACCTGGTATTCCAAAACAAAAATCCTTCTTCTCGCACACATTAAAATAGTACTGGGTCCATTTCATATCTAAAATGGCATGCATCCTGTTTAATTCATGTCAAGTATACTGTACATATAAGCAAATAAAATTTACTATTTCAATTTGAATTTATGTATTTTATTTCTGAAATCATTTATGAACTGAGTATTCATCTTATAGTCACTTACACTGGAAACTTGTGGGTGACATACACAGGATATTTCCATACAAGTTAATATAATTTGAGGATAGTGAATGCTGGAACCAGAGATCGTTACATGTGCAGTCCCAGTTGATCTCCGACATATTAATGGAACTGAGAGATGTCAAACCACTAAACAAGTCGAAGGAAACCTTGGTAAATTTGTTCCTTGAAAGGTTGATTGTCTGTAGAGCGGTATTAGAGGAAAACATACCACTGGTGAGATTAACCAGATTAGCATTATCCACTGTGATGGATACCACGGTGGTGATGGGAGAGAAGAAATTGGCGGCCAATTCTCCGCTGGTCAGCTGGGCATTTTGGATGGTAAAACCTCCGATTGGGTTGGGGACGTTGGCCAGCTTTTGGATCGTCAGTCCAGCAAGACTTGATGCATCAGTTGAGGCGATGATCCCTCTATCGATCTGGAGATAATCCAACTGCATCCCATTGAATACATTTGCTGGAATTCCGTTGTTTAGGTTGCAGCCGGTTAGCCTTAATTCCTGAATGTATGTCATGTCGGTAAATGAGGTTGTAGCAAGCCCCAGTGTTCCTCCTGTTGCGCAAGAAATCTCCAGAGAAGCCTTGAAGTTTGTGTCAAACGTTGAAACATCATAGGCACCAAAACCCGAGAAAACGCTGGCACTTACCAAGTTACCATTGAAGAAGGTAATTTTCAATCTTTGTGGATTTGGATTTGAAAAGGATCCTAGTGCCACTGGGAACGTTGCATTTGTAAAGTCACAAGTGTACACACCAACTGGTTTTGTATATTCTTCGTAGGTACATCCAGAAGGGTGTGTAGCTCCGTAACACAGAGACTGAAATGCCAAAAAACAAATTATTCTTAAAATCATTTTCCTATCTGTCATTTTTTAAGCAAAGGGAGTCTTTCTGTTAAAGATGGGTTTCGAAGTCGACTTAATTTTTTTTCACTGAGAATTCGATGACCGGAATAAATAAGGACCTCCCCTTTCAGTGTGTATTTTAAAAGACCGAATTTAACATTCTTTCATAAATGTTTCTGATCATTATTTGCTTTTGAACTTAATATATAAAGTCATAAAATAGTTGTTGACACAACAGATATTTGGCATGACAGAGGACTTAAACTACTTAGAATGACTTCCATGTGACAAACTGCAAACTGAAAAAATTATTAAATTTATGTACATGTTAATTACAGAATATTTAAAGACAGCAAAATGAATTTAATAGTAGAAAACCATTGAACTTTTATCAAGATAATTCAAAGCAAGTTAATCATTTTAATAATTTTGTTGGACAATCCTCGCGATGAAATTAATCAAGATGATTTAAAACAAGTTAGCATCTCTTACTACATTTTGTATATTGGCGATGAAGTTAAATGTGTAATATCATTTGCTTAAAACACAGTGCATGCTTCAAATACATGTCAACTTTCAAAAATAAAAGTAAAAACAAAATAAATAAAAACAAAAATTAAGGAAAATGACAGTTAAAAGAACTTATCATTTAAAAGTAAACAAAGTAAGTATTTCGTTTGTTCACAAGGATACAATAATCACCAAATTAAACATAACCCACATTGACACATCAAACCTAACTTATCGTGTATTTGATCATTTTCTTAAAATACCTAGATCTAATTCTTTATAAAAACATATAGCACACAGGTATTATCACATTGAGGAACGGTGAATATTTAAACACCTGAATATAAGTATCGAAAGGTGAAGGTTCTAAGACAAGTAACTACCAAAAGATGTGAGCAGAAAGTTAAGCAATAGGAAAACTACTTCAAGAAAATTGACCATCATGTCTTCCTTACTATTTGTGATAATAGGGCTCTCTATTGGAATAGTGTCGTCTGCAACTGCTCCGAGTGGATGTACTTATGATACTTCGACGTCCTCCATGGGACTTTATATATGTGATTTCGCCTCAATAACTCTTCCACTAGAATACGTGAATTTCAGCAATCCCGAACCTCAACGTTTGGTGATTTATGACGTCACTGGAGACATTTCCGCATCACAACTCTTTAATGGTTTCAGCGCCTTCAACTATACAGCTGTGAATGGAGATTATACAAATTATTTAGAAATTGGCTGCAAAACAGGAGGAACATTACAAATATCCAGCACGACATTTACTGACCTGAACTTTATCAATGAATTTAAAATGGTTGGATGCAATTTCAACAACGGTCTTCCGAGCAGCGCGTTTTCTACATTTGTAGAACTAGATTCGTTGACAATAGAAGGTGGAACAATAGCATCAACAGAGTCAGATACATTTTCTGGATTAAATATCACCAAGATCTCTGGAGTTCCCAATCCTCAAGGAAAGCTCGCCATCAAAAACGCAAACGTGGGGACGAATTTCTCCTCTGGGTTCTTTGATCTTCTTCCAATGGTTAACGCCATTGACATCAGCGGTTGCGGGATTACGACTATTGATGCCACCACTTTTCCGTACAACAATAAAGTTTCTTTACTGAATCTGGCGAATAGCAATTTAACAACTTTACCAAAGACATTTCTACAAAACATGACATCACTAGTGGAAGTTGACGTTTCTGGAATTGCCTGGGATTGCTCCTGTGACAATCTTTGGTTTCTTGACCACTTTTCCGCGTACCGCATGCGCATGAAGGGAAGCATCCTTTGCAGTGGCGGTCAAAGAGCAGCCCAATATTTCGGCGAACAGTGTAGAAGCACAGACGTCTGCAACAGTATACCAGGTAATGATCGAAATAAAAAAAATCTTTTCTTTTTTTTCAATGCAGAACTTGACAGTCTTCTGTATATTTGTTTTTCGTTTGATTTTTAGGTATCGCCATAGGAATAGACTGCTTTGAATGGTATCAGATTATCTCATACGTGTTCACCTCTGTGTCTTTCGTACTCGCCTGGATTGCCTTTGTGGTCGTCGTCATCTATCGCAGATCTATGTACAAGAACGAAAAGGAAATCGAAACTAGGAAACGAGAGAAGGCTATCAGAGTCTTGGAGGCGCTGAAACGAGGAGGAGGAGGGGGACAGAAGGCGCCACCTAAAGCCAATATGATGTGGGCTGTCACGGATCAGTCCGAGAACACAGAAATCAAGAAGGCGCTATAAACATTTGTGGATGATATTGTTTATGTATCATTTAATTTATTTATTAAAACATACAGTACAAAAAAAAAATGATTATTTCTTATAAAGTATTTTATGGAGAGAAAAAAATTATTTTATTTTTGTACAAGGAAAGAACAAACTTTGTCATGTAAATCATTAGAAAAGCTTACACATTTGTCTTATAGGTGACTACATGTGTAGTACTAATAGTATGTGGTTTGACAAAAGCTTAGATCATTCACTAGAAAGGTTTAACTGATACGATACCCTGACAGTTTATCTGTGTTATGATATCTCATGGTCAACCAGTTTTATGAATTTTTATGGTATGTGCCATTAGGTGAGAAGATCACTGATAATCTATTGTCTCAAACCACGGTTAGCAATCCTCACATAGGTCTCTCCTACAACGGGAGAACATTTTGGCCGTGGGTTTGCCACGATACTGATAATCTGTAAAGGATTTTTTTTTACAGATAATTCTAAATAGAAAATTAAAAGCTTGAAATACTTAATTTGCATAACATGATAAAAGCTGTACAACATCTGGTAGAACCATTGGTTAAGCACTAAGTACACTATTCAATGCACCAGGTACATAAACATGTTTCAGGTAAACTTTTAAAAAAGAAACATGTACCTTTGACTTGACGTATAATCTAGGGAACATAGTGACATTAACCAAGGCTATTTATGAGTACGTACATTTTATCATAATTTTAAACAGAGGTTCGAAATATCTCTTTCATTGCTATTTTGTATAATCTAGCTAGAATAAATTCAACTCATGTATCTATTTAAAATCACAAATGCTAGTTTTTAAATCATAATTCCTTGCAAAAACTTAGCCGGGGGTGTGGGGTGTTGTTTCAATGTTATTTACTAGTATTTTGATACATAAAAGAAGTTTGTCTTGATTAAAAAAAAAAAATTGTCAGCCGCCGGATTGTTCCGTGCCGGAACCCGGGATCGAACCGGGGGCCTTTAGATCTTCAGTCTAACGCTCTCCCAACTGAGCTATTCCGGCTGACGTTAATATCAAAATGACGTCAAAACAGATGCATCACCACAGAAAAATGAACATACGAGTTGTAAATAGTACACTGTTTTAAATGTATTCAATGGAAATAGCTTTATAATCTCAGTCAGAATCAAATCATTCTGCTAGACAGCAGAGCATATGGTTCCTTACTGCAGATCTGATGTCTGATCCTTAAAAATATATCTCTAAAGCCTAAATTTCTAAGGTTATACAATATTATCTTGTATACATTCTCTTTTTGAAAATAACATTAGCAACGTTGTTTTGAACTAAAATTTCTTGTTCTCTGTTTATTAAGGTCTTCCGTTTCAGACGGAAGACCTTATAGTGATTCTACTGTTTTTTCTTATTATTATTCTTATTATTATTTTTTTCCCCAAATCTTGTCGGCAGGATTTCTCAGAAATGGCTGGACGGATTTTCCTGAAATTTTCAGGGATGATGAAGAATAAAATTACCCCGAGAACTTTTTTTCATTTTTTCAAAATTCACTTCCGGTCGTCAGATATGTCCGATTTCCGCTTTTTTCAAAAATATTTAATCCGAGTGAGATCTCAGAAACGGTAAGAGATTAAGGCACCAAATTTACAGGGATGATAGATCTTGATAAGTAGGCAAATCCAATTGGGTTAAGGTTGTCCGCCGTCACTTCCGGTCGTCACAGGAAGTGTTCTTAAATATCGAAAATTTCAACTTTTCTTTTTTGAAAGTTTTTTAGCATCAGATTATAGCATTTTACTCGTAGTTTCGAAATATGTCAGTCCCACCGTAAACAAAAACGACAACTTCCGGTTATAAGAGAAAAACTGCATATTTTCAGTATTTTTCTTTCCCATCAATATTTTTTATAGATGAAGTTTTCGAAATGATTTTTAGAAGTGTTATTCAGACTGCAAATGACTACAGTAACGTCAAATATCTTTGGAAAATTCACTTCCGGTCGCGTGATTTCCTGTCCTCAAAATGAATAGTTCTGATAGCTATATCACTGAAACGGTAAGAGATGTAGACACCAAACTTTTAGGAGTATTATATCTTGACAAAAAGGGAAAAACATTTGGGTTAAGATTGTCCGCCGTCACTTCCGGTCGTCACAGGAAGTGGTCAAAAAATCGGAAATTTCATCTTTTCTTTTATGGAACGTTTATTGCATCACATTATAGTGCTTTATTTGTAGTTTCAAAATATATCAGCTCCACCGGAAACAAAAATGACAACTTCCGGTTATAAGAGAAAAACTAAATAATTTGAATATTTTTTTTCCAATATATATTTTTTATAGATAAAGTGTTTGCAACTGTTTTGGATATGTTATTTCAGACTGCAAATGTCTACAGTAACATCAACTATTTTTTTTAAAATTCACTTCCGGTTGCCTGTGATTTCCTGTCCTCAAAATGAGAAATTATTATAGTTAGATCTCTTAAACAGTAAGAGATTAAGACACCAAACTTTGACAAGTGGTATATGCTGATGAGTTAGCAATTCCATGGTGGATAATCTCGTCTGTCGTCACTTCCGGTCGTCACAGGAAGTGATCAAAGAAGTCCAAAAATTCAACATTTCCTTATGGAAACTTTTTTTTATCACACAATAGCATCTTATTTGTAGTTTTGAAAAAAGTCAGTAACACCGAAAACAAAGAAGACAACTTCCGGTTATAAGAGAAAAGCTTCATAATTTGAGTATTTTTCTTTCCAGTAAATATTTTTTATAGATGCAGTATTTGTAATGATTTTTGGATATGTTATTAAGACTGTAACTGTCTTAAGTAACGCCAAATATCTTTATAAAATTCACTTCCGGTTGTGTGATTTCCTGTCCTCAAAATGAGAAGTTATCATATCTAGATCTCGTAAACGGTAAGAGATTAAGACACCAAACTTTTACAAGTGGTAGATCTTGATGTGTAGGCAAAACTAGTCAGGAAAAGATTGTCCACCGTCACTTCCGGTTGTCACAGGAAGTGAACAAATGAATAAAAACTTTTCTTATGGAATCTTTCTTAGGAATACATTATAGCATCTTTTTTGTAGTTTTGAAATATGTCAGTCCCACTGGAAACAAAATGGACAACTTCCGCTTATGAAAGAAAAACTGCATAAATTTAGTATTATACTATACCATAAATATTTTTGATAAGAAGAGCATTAGAAATGATTTCAGGACATGTTATTTAGACTGAAATATCTAGAGTAACCTCAAATATCTTTTCAAAAATTTACTTCCGGTCACGTGATTATTTGTCCTCAAAATGAGAAGATAATATTACGAGATCTCTTAAACTGCAACAGATCAAGACACTTAACTTAATATGAATAAAACAACATGAAGATAGGGGAAAAAATATAGGGTAAAATGCGTACGCCGTTCCTTCTGGTCGTCACAGGAAGTGATAAAAAATTGAAAATGATTTTTGTACATGTTATTAAGACTATAACTGTCTAAAGTAAAGTGAAGAATCTTGGTAAGTTACACCTCCGGCTGTTTGTTTTCCTACAATCATTAAAAATATTATATGCCTTTTTAACATAGATTAAAGCTCATTCATGTAGATAAATAGAGGAGAACGGAAGACCTTCTTTGTTGCTGTAGCAACAAGAGTTTCTAGTTTCAAATTTCCAATTATTGAAGGGCCTTTTAGTGATTTAACGTTGCCGGATAATGCTGTGTACCTCCTCTAAATCAAAAGTTTGGGAAATACAAGCTTAAACTATACCGGTATTTACGCTAATTTTTACTTTAGAAAATATTTTTATTTTCAACATTTTATATTTAGTCAAAACTCCTGATAATATATGATTATTTTCTTATGGAATAACATTTTAATATTGAGAAATTCATAGAAAATTATCGATGGGAAAGATACATTGTAGAGTTTGTGTACATGTTCGTGCGTATGCCCTTAAACAAATATAAAATTAATACTAATGTAAATAGGAAATTAGATGTACTTTGCTACTGCATATTCTAGACGTGGTGTAAATCAACCATTGATTATGAAAACTCACATAAATCTGAAGAAGACTTAAAATTAAAAAAAAAAACTTTCTAGCCACCGCACCACGCGACCGGCGAGTGAAGTTTCGTACGTGAACATTCAGAAAGAATTCCAAATGCACGTGTCACTTGTTATTTTTTACCAAACTGGCTGACAGAAGAAAAAAAGATTTTTAATTTCCACCAAAATCGTCGCTGAGTCAGTCCGTACAAAATATCGAACAAAGTAAGTCACGATAGAGTAGCCTTGAAGTTTTGAGAATGCTTCTGGCTCGTGTCCTCAGCAGTTTCTTGTTTTATTGTTGCTCTAAGGTCTTAAAGAGTCAAAAGATACTCAGCCAATCAAACTAAGCAATCAATTTCTAAAACGAGGTAAATTACTAACAAACAAGTTGATGAAACAAGAATATCAGCAGTCTCGTTTAAAGTCATCATTTCGTAAGTTCTATGGTCGATACAATGCCCTTGTCAGCAAATACAATTTATCATTGAGTCAAATGCTGACTGACGTTTTTCAAACCAATTGTTAGTCCATTATTTATACACTGAATTGACGACGGATTTTTATCCGTTATTTCCCGATCATAAGGATCACACGGCGGGTGTGACTGGTCGGCAGGGGATGCTTACTCCTCCATGGCACCTGATCCCACCTCTGATGTTTTGGAGGTCCGTGTTTGCTCTGCTCCTGTTTTGTATTGCTTTATGGACTTTTGATTTTGAATACTGTTCGTTATCTCAATATCTTTCATTATAAGCGCATGGTCTCCAGTTTAGAAGTTAGGAATAATATAATAACTGTTCAATAAAGTTTATCCTTTGGCTCATTGGAACATATTTTTCTTTTCAAAAAATTCTAAAGCCTCTGTTGTCATGACCTTTTCTTCTTACTTTTTGTAAAACCATTGAATTTATTTTGTTCATTGACATGAGTTGTCTCTCTTTAAGCAGTAACTGTTAAGG